CCAGACAGGCCCAATGACAAAGTGACCAGCCCGGGAGGTGAGCCATGGGACGTACTGGTGGTGGCAACTAACGTCACTAAACACCGACATGCCAGACACCATTAAGCTAATTGTCTGTTCACGTTTACTCAGTTAATCCACATTAAATAAATGAGGCATATTTTATTATGATGCTTGTTTCCTGGGTGACGAGCCCTGAGGTTAAGAGACTTCCCCAAGGAAGGTGGCATTCCAACACAGAGCTCTGGCTCCAGAGCCTTAACTTCCTACCCTGGGGCTGTCTCGTCTTACTCTGCATATTCTACCCCTCAATGCAGCTCAAGGCCCCCCTATGGCTGACAGCTCACTGGACACTTCCAGAGCAATGCAAACTGTCACCAAACACCTATTTAGTATTCCCAACCCAAGGGTCTAGTTCCTGAAAAATAGGGGTTCTCAAAGTTGATCTGTGGACCCCAGGGGGTCTGTAAGGTCAAAACTATTGCCCTAATATTAAGGTATCCCTTGCCTTTTCACTGTGCTTACATTGACAGGGGCAAGGGTGGACAAAGCTGGCCCTTTGGAGCAAATCAAGGCAGCTACAGTGAGTTTTAGCAGTAGGCATACTCTCTCTCTCTCTCTTTTTAAAATTTTATTTATTTATTCATGAGAGACACAGAGAGAGAGAGGCAGAGACACAGGCAGAGGGAGAAGCAGACTCCATGCAGGGAGACTGACGTGGGACTTGATCCTGGGTCTCCAGGATCAGGCCCTGGGCTAAAGGTGGCGCTAAATTGCTGAGCCACCGGACTGCCCACGTAGGCATACTCTCAATCACAAAAAAAGTCCAATTACATTTAAGAATATCCTTCTTAAAATGATTAATCTTATTGAGTCTTGACCCTTGGGTACACATTTTTTTTTTTTGCATTTTGTTTGATATTAGGTGTCGCATCAATACCTCTGCACACCTCAAAGAAAAGCACTTAGGTGAGGGAATTACAAGCTGATTTAGGTGCTTTCTCCATAGAGCATCATTTTTACTTGAAAGAATGGCTGACAGACCAACTACGGTTGGTCAGATTTGGGTAGCTGGCACATATTTTCTAAAAAATGAAGCCTGTCACATCAAGGAAAACTCTATTTTATTTATTGGTAATGATAAAATTCAAGATCAGGTAAGAATAAGCATCTTGGAAAATGTGTATTCCCCACAGTGGGCAGTTTCCCAAAACTTAATGGCTTGTCTGATGAGATTAGTGAGGTCATTAACAAATGTAATTAACAAACACTAGATCTGCACAACTCAGTGAACCAACTTTGCCTGAGGTGAAATGGAATATCCTGACTGGGTGAGAGAGCCATTCAGAGGGCCAGGCACACCTACGGGGCTGAATAAAGCAGAATACAAAGAGTTCACATTCCATGGTGAGAGTAACTTTTTAGGAAATCACCGCTTGAATCGCCTAGAGGGCTATTAAAATATTTCTCCTTGGGATGCCTGGGTGGCTCAGCTGCCTTCAGCTCAGGGTGTGATCCCGGGATTCCCTGTGGGGAGCCTGCTTCTCCCTCTGCCTCTCTCTCTCAGGAATAAATAAATAGAATCTTTATAAAAAAAATTTTCTCCTCTTTCCACTGACCTGTGTCTAAAGCCAGATTTTTTTTCAACCACTTCAACCAAAATAAAACATCACAACACAGTGAATGAAGAGGCAGTTGTGAGAACCTAGCTGTCCACCAAAGTGGACGTTAGACGTTAAAGAGACCCGTAAAATGGCAAAACAATGCCAGTTTTTGCATTGACTCTTTTGGGTTTCAGAAATAGTTACTTTTTGCTAATATAGTTACTTATGTTAATATATAATGGGTTTATTCATTTAAAAAAAGATTATTTATTTATTTATTTATGAGAGAGAGAGAGAAAGAGATAGAGAAGAGAGAGAGAGAGAGAGAGAGAGAGAGAGAGAGAGAGGCAGAGACACAGGAAGAGGAAGAAGCAGGCTCCATGCCGGGAGCCTGACGTGGGACTCGATCCCGGGACTCCAGGATCACGTCCTGGGCCAAAGGCAGGTGCTAAACCGCTGAGCCATCCAGAGATCCCCTATATAATGGGTTTAATGGATATTTCAAAAATGCCAAATATTTCAAATTTTTGTTTTAACTTCTATGATAGTAAACAGTAATAGATAAAACCAAAATGAAGTGAAGCTCTTTGGGTTCCTCGGTTTTTAACCGTGTTAAACACACCAAAATGTTTTGAGAACTGCTGTGGTAAAAAAATCAAAAGCAGATTTTAAAAAGCCAAAGAGGCTGCACCTGGGTGGCTTAGTCAATTGAGTGTATGACTTCAGCTCAGGTTAGTGATCTCACGGTTGGGGTTGTGGGACTGTTTGGGGACTTGCTTGTCTTTTTCCCTCTGCCTCTCCCCCGCTTGTGCTCTGTCTCTCTAATAAGTAAATAAAATCTTTTAAAATAATAATAATAATAACAATAATAATAATAATAAATAATACAAAAAGCCAAAGTAGGAAGGAATGCCATCTGGTGGAAAAGACAGTTTATGATACCAATCTCTTTGCTAATAAAGTAAATGACACCTCTAGTCCATTTGGTGACATATCCTATTTTAGAAACTTCACATACTTAAGGCAAAAATATTCAAAACTCAAGGTTTGGAACTCAAAAATATCATTAATAGTTGGGGCACCTGGGAGGCGCAACTGGTTAAGCGTCCAACTCTTGGTTTCAGCTCAGGTCGTGATCTTGGGGTCATGAGACAGGGCCTCACGTTGAGTCAGTTGACTCTCTGTCTCCCTCCCTCTGTCTTCCCCATGCATGCAGGAGCTTTCTCTCTCTCAAATAAATCTTTAAAAAATGTAAAATATTAAAAATCAATTAAGTATCCCAGAAGAGTTCAGGAATAGAGGGAGAGTTGGGAGGGGTCTGAGGCTGCTGCCTGAAGACAGTCTGATGCCAGCTCAGACAGGAGAGGAAGCCAGCACCAGGGTTAAGGCATGGGGAGCCCAGAAGACTGTTTACAGACCTTGGAGATACCACGGACATTCATGATTTTTGGACCTAAGGACATCTGAGCCGGAGAGTTCTGGCTAGCCCCTTCCACATTCATCTGCCAAAAGAAGTCACCTTGAGGGCAGATTCTGTGTTCTGTCCCAAGAACAGAAACTTTCAGAACACTTCTCATTCCACAACCAGACCTGAAGTTCCAATGACTGAATGAAATACAGTAAAGCACACCACTCAAAGCCTAAGTATAAATGACCCGTCTTTGCAACATTCACGTGGTACTGAGAAAACCTGGGCACAAGACATATTAACAATCTTCCCAATTCTGCCCCCACGCCCCTAAACCCTGCTGTCCTTCCTTGTTCTCAGGGGATTTGTTGTTTAGCTTGCTGTATTCCAGAAGGGGTGACAGCGAAGTACCTCACTTCTCTAGCCAACTTCCCCAGGAGGCCTTCCAGCTTTAGGCAAAGGTCAGCTACTGTACACACAAAGGCTCTGGGGGCCCACACACCCTCCTCTCCCTCCACACTGAAGTTCCAGCACTTGGCAGCTCCTCAGGTTTATCTTGTGCATGGGCTCTAAGGCCCCCACACCCCAAATATGAAGACAGAAGACCACTACTGGCCATCTTCATTCCGCAAACCCAAGCAGAGGTATGGTCACCCTTGACCTAAGCCACAGGTCTGTCCTTCAGCTTTGGATGCTCGGACGAGTGAAGCCTGGGCTCCTTACTTGACATAGAAGGGAGTGGCATTTGCAGTACCTAGGGCTCAAGCTTGTTCTCTCTTTTGCATACTGGTGCCCAAACTTTTTTCCTTGGTAAATGTGTTATTTGCATCATCTCACAGCCTTTCATGGGCTTATTTCAATGGTTGTACACAATTCGATCCAATCTCAGAATCAGCTCAAATTTGGAACAGTTCATGCTATATTTTTAGATATACTACCGTTTTGATTATAATTTGGTACGATTTTCCGAAGTTCTACTATGCTGCCTTGAAGGCTTCAGTTAGTTTCAAAGCAACTTTTATTTTTTTTTATTTTTTTATTTTTTCAAAGCAACTTTTAATCACAAAACTTGGCCTGTATTCCCCAGGCCTGGAGTGATGGAATTAGACTTTCTCTTTGAAAAAGAAATGTTTGTGGGGCACCTGAGTGGCTCAGCGTTTGAGCATCTGCCTTTGGCTCAGGTCATGATTGTGGGGTCCTGGGATTGAGTCCCACAGGGAGCCTGCTTCTCCCTCTGCCTAGCCCCTGCCCCCTCTCTGTGTCTCTCATGAATTAAAAAAAAAAAAAAGTTTGTTCCCTAAAGAATGTTTCCTCAACAGGCACAGTTGTACTGATGCTCAGTATACAGTATAGCAAACCTACCTCACACAAGGGGGTAGGTGTCTCAACCATCATCACAATAGGTCAAGGAGCAGACAGGAAATGCTAATCATTCCCAGTTGCTACCAGGAAGGAAATATCAGAAATGGTGATGTTGTTTCAGAAAGACCAACTGTTTACCTAAAAGTGGATGGGCACAAGCCTGGGGATACAAGGATTAGGAGGAGCTTCTCCAACAGTTGGGGAGAGGCCTCACTCTGTCAGACCCTCTCTCATAGCCCTTCCTCACTTCTAGAGGACTAAATAGTACAAAAGGCACTCCCTGATTCGAGAAACATTCCCACATCTAAGTCACCTGCAGGTGCAGTGATCCCACCAAGCTCACCTCGCTGCAGAGCACAGGTAGGCTGCTATGCTCAGCCAAGGCCTCTCGCCTTTCTAGTCTGAAGATATGGCACTAGCTGCAAGGCTGGAAATCCAAGCTGCCTGAGGGCTGACTTCCTCCATGGTAACCTCCTTTCTTTAGAAACCTGCTTTCATCCCGGATAATGTACACATTTGTACAGTGCATTAGCTGGACCAACATAGGTCCAGACATAGGAACCAAGCCACAGTGTTACAACGCCTCATTTGCTTCCGGCCACCCCACCACAGCCAACACCAAATACCTTTGGGTCATCAGCCTCAGGTTTTTCAGTCTCTGAATCGTCATCTTCCTACAAGACAAAGAATTTAGAGGATTAAGCTTAAAGGAGCGGGCCTGAGAGTTCTCACATGCATAATTAGGGGCTGGAGCAATGTACCCAGCCTGGGCCATCCCACCAAGAACCCCTCCCCTCCCCTATGACCCAGAACTAGAGAAAGAGAAGGGGGAAAGGAGATGTTCTGGGAGGTGGGGGAGGGGGTGGGGGTGGAGAAAAGACCACCAGCAGCTCAAAGTCGTTACTCCAGCAGTGTCATAGTCTACAGCAATGGAAATGCCTGAGATTAAAAATCACACACACAAAAATGGAAAAAGGCTGCAATGTTTCAGAAAAGAGTAAGAGCAAGCCCCATAAGATAAAGCAGGCATAGGGTTTCCAACGAAACATTAATTATTTAAAACCTGGAACATGAACCTCCTTTTTTCCTCCTTTCCTTTGCCTTTCATACACACAAGTACATCAGACTCAGACCTACCATGACATTGTTCACGGTCAGACTAGCATGACCCCCACACAACCACACCCGGGAACTTCCGCCCAGGAGCATTCACAGCTACACCAACAACAGGTCACATGACCAGGGCAAGTGACCCAGGGAAGGACTACATAGCCACACCTGGCCTTTCCTGGGTCTCATAGAACTGTCACTGACCTGTTCTATCCAGTCTTGTTCCTGATTCAAATGGCCTGCCTGACACAAAGCATCATATGAGCAAGGCGTTTTCCAAAGTGTGTGCTGGCCTCACACGAGCCAGCCTACCATTTCACTGAATGAAGGTAAAAAATCAGCTACCCTATTAGGTAGCTATATCCACATTTGTTCCCAGAACACCCCAATGCACAAGAGCCTTTAACTTTACACCCAGGAAAAAATTAAGTTTCATTTGAAATTGCTTTTTTTCAATCGAGCTACACTCTAACCCAAACATTAAATAGCACCCCAGATGCTAATATAAACATCATCTGAGACTTGAACAAGGTATACTGATGGCTTTGAGATTTCACTGTCCCTCTAGGTGTCAGTGAGCCCAAAGGTTTAAATCCAATCTCCATGATTCCCTTAAAATGTAATCAATCATGCCAGAAAGTCAGTGATATAGCTCAGCCAAATACGATTACATTTTTAAAATGTCTATATTGGGATCTGATGAGAGGATTTTACTAGAATATGATACAAAACTTAAATAGGATGAAAATTCTAAGCAAAACAACATGGAGCAACACTTTAGAAACACATCACGCAAACTTATCAAGAAAATACAGTGTTAGGCTAGCATGTGTGCACTTAAGAAAATTTGCAAAGCTTTTCTAAACAATTTTAGTCAATTCTAAATTATTGGCATTAATGGTGGGGCTAATGATGTGAGAATATCTTCCAAAAGAGCATCAAATACAAAATGCTTTTTGGTTTAATCAGAAACTATTTTAACGCTAATATTTAAATATCAACGCATAAAAAAGTTTCAAACAAATAATAAAGTACATTGAGTGCTTCAGTTAAAAGTATTGCTGAATAGTCAGATTTCAATTTATATGACTGTGCTAAGCACCAGCATGAATCCTTGCTTTCTCTCCAAACTTAAATTCTGGCTCCTGAGGCTCACTCAGGTGATAGTGTATCCAAAGGCTTTCTGGTTAATTAAGACACGGTTCTCTTTTCTTTGTTGCCAGTACATACTGAATGTCAGGCCAGATTTGTGCTCAAGAACTGAGGGCACTCTGATAAAAAGTGCCAAGTAAAATGTCAAGAAAGAAGTTAAGAAGGATCAAATCACAAATAAGAAACTAAATAATTTTCCTCCCTAATCTTTTTAATGAGCTGAAAGATTTTAATAAACCCCAACTAAGATTAAAAATACCGAGTTGACTGCAGATATCAATGTTAGGACAAATGCATTGTCACAAACGGAATAAACTCCCTTAATGGGGAACGACACGAAACACTCATTGATATCGGGAGTTAAATAAAATAGTCCACTATCTTTTCCCCCAAATTTCAATTCAAAAGTTAATTCAAAATGGTCCAGATGAAAATAAGTTTCGTTTTCAAACAGAACTACAGATAACCAACCCAGCTTCCTCAACTGATACCAAACAAAAAGTGGGGGAAGGGTGGGGAATGACGTTAGCCATGGAATGGAACATTGTTGGTACAGTTCAAAGGTTTTTGACAAATGAAATGGCGCTTGGAGCAACTCTGGATTAGAACAGATTTACTTACCGACTGCTTGCTGTTCTCATCCTCCTCTTCTTCATAACCATCTTCATCACCTCCGAGGCGAGAAAAGTCATCCTCTCCATAGGCTTCAGATACTAATCCACCTTTCTCCTCTGAAACAGAGGGAAAAAAAAAAGAAAAATGAATGAATGCATACAAAAATGCAAGACGATATTTCCGTGATTTGAGCTGCCAGAACTACCTTTGAATGTCTTAAGTCTCATGTAAGCGACTATAGGTTCGGAATCTACCTTTGGAAAGACCAGAATTTAGTGGATAAAATCATCAAAAAGAACATGGAAGAAAACCAAATGCTAAATTCTTTCTTTCATGCTTTCCATTCACCTAGTATGCTGAGGACCTCTACTATTTCTATTACTACTGTTGCATGTTTTTTTTTTTTAATTTTTGTTTATTTATGATAGTCACAGAGAGAGAGAGAGGCAGAGACACAGGCAGAGGGAGAAGCAGGCTCCATGCACCAGAAGCCTGACGTGGGATTCGATCCCGGGTCTCCAGGATCGCGCCCTGGGCCAAAGGCAGGCGCCAAACCACTGCGCCACCCAGGGATCCCTGTTGCATGTTTTTAGAAAACCTTTTTAAAAGATTTTCTTTATTTATTCATGAGAGACACAGAGAGAAGCAGAGGTACAGGCAGAGGGAGAAGCAGGCTCCATTCAGAGGCTGAGCCACCCAGGCGTCCCAGAAAACCTCTTTTGATATGCGTAACTACCTTCTATCAGAGGCAGTAAAACTTGTCTTCTCATACAAGACCAGGCCTCTGTTGCCCTCATTTTTGTGTGTCCTCCCCTAGGAACAGGAGCTTTAGCTGGGGGCACTCGGAGGGGCTACCAATCATACCTACTTGAGAAGCAAAAATCTTTTCCATTTAAACCAAAACAAACAACAACAAAAAATATGAAATGCTACAAATTACTGGGAAAACCTCCTGACTGGAACACACCACACAAAACTGAGAGTAGCTAACCTCCGAATGAGGAAAGGAAGGCCCAGATATGTTAGTTAACTTGCTGCCCTCTGATCCCAACGAAATCTGTTCCCATTTTCTAACACTGTGATTCTCAACCTGAGTAGCGTTAACAGTATCACTGATGGGTCTTTAACAGCTCACAAAATAAGGGAATCACTGAGGAGCATTAAAAAGCTCACAAGGGGATCCCTGGATGGCTCAGCGGTTTGGCGCCTGCCTTTGACCCAGGGCGTGATTCTGGAGTGCCGGGATGGAGTCCCCACATCAGGCTCCCTGCATGGAGCCTGCTTCTCCCTCTGCCTGTGTCTCTGCCTCTCTCTCTGTGTCTCTCATGAATAAATAAATAAAATCTTAAAAAAAAAAGCTCACAAAATGCCCAGATCCTACCACAAACCAATGAATTACTCCCTCGCCAGCGAGACCAGGTATACAGATTTTTAAAACCTCCTAGATGGCGTGTAGGGCACATTCCCAACGCGAAATCACAAATGCAAAGACACAACCTTTATCACCCTCCACGTATGTTCTACTCATCGCTCTCCCCGTTATACAATAAACCCGGAGGGAATAGGTAGCTTTGGATCCTCTCCATCCTTCGTCCATCCCTATGCCCCACGAGGCCCGGCACGGAGAAGTCTTTCCATAGTGTCGGCAGAGCAATCTAATCCACGGAAGGAGATGATCCACTCTTATTCTAAAGCGTCTACTCTACCCCAATCAGGGCCTCGATCACGCTTCGCGGCTCCGGGACTCGGGACTGGGGAATGGGGGCACAATGACCGTCTCTTTCTTTCCCTTCCGCCCTGCTAGGGGACCAGCACTCCAAGCAGCCACCTGACCCTCCCCTTCCAGTTCCCTACTCGCGCCTCACCAGCCGCGCCGCCCGCCGTTTCAACTCCAGCCTCGCCATCGGACTCGGGCTCTGAATCTTCCGCGTAAACTGCCAGAGACGACAGAACATTCTTCTTCCCCGCCATCTTACTCCCACAACCCCGGCGAGCCTCACTCCTATGACTTAAAAAAGCCGACTTCCGTGCGTAAAGGCGACTTTTTCCTATCCCAGGAGAACTCGCGCCGGTTCCTGTCCGGCAGCCAATCAAAACGGCCGTTTCTGCGCCTGGCCCCGCCCCTCGCACCGGAGGTGCCGAAACGTCATCACTGCGCGACAGATATAAAGTTGTGTGGGTTTTGCCTGACCCTGATTTCCCAGCAATTTGGCTCCTCAGGATCTGGGTGGCTTATGGGGGTCTTCGAGTAGTTCCCGACCAGCGGGCAGCGGCGGCCCGGCAAGAGTCCTTCGCTCCTGGGTGGCCCACGCCCAGCTCTGATATCTTGGGGGTGAAGACAGGGAGGCTTCGGCTGGGAAAGGGAGAACCAAGCGGATCTGAGGCTTAGAGGGAGGAGGGAAGAGCTCTCCTCCGGGAGGTGGGAAGAAGAGGTCGGGGCTCTTGGGGGGGGGGCGGAGGGGGGAGAGCGGGCGTGATATTGGCGCTTATAAAGGGAGCCGGAGGTGGATCTTAGAAAAAACAATTCCGTCTTCTCCAAATTATTCTAATGAGACAGTTGTATTTCTCGTCGTGATCTGATTTCTAGCTCTGTGCTGTATCATGGGATGGGATAGCTCAGTGTTTTTGATTTTCTTGAGCATAAAAGTGGAGATGTTAAATTGCCCAGGAATTTGTTGCTTGACGCTGTTCATCTGGAGCTATGTTCGTTGCAAATAATATGTTGCTTGAGAGTGGGTAAAGGAGATTTTACCTAGAGAAAAATAAGCGGTATTTAAAAAGCAGAACAGAGGGTTTTCGTCGCAACCGTATGATCATCGCCGTTACCTTAACTTTTGGCCACTGTCGCTAAGATGAGCGCTCACCCTTTTGACCGTGAACATCGAGTCCGGAGCACGTTGAAGAAGGTCTTTGGGTTTGACTCTTTTAAGACACCTTTACAGGAGAGTGCGACCATGGCTGTAGTGAGAGGTAACATTGCCAAATTTCCTGCATTTACATTTGTCCTGGCTATACTGTAGCATTGCCAGAGGGTGCCAACACCCTCCTTTTGACCCTACCTTGGTCCATGGTTGTTGGAAATCTTGTAGATGCGTCCCTTAAAACGTGCAGTTTTATTGGCAGAATCACCCAGCTGTTCTGGTTCTTACATTTCATAGCCAGAGCTGCAGATTGAAAACAACTCATAGGGGCACCTGGGTGGCTCAGTAATTGAGCGTCTGTCTTTGGCTCAGGTCATGGTCCCAGGATCCAGTCCCACATCAGGCTCCCCACAGGGACCCTGCTTCTCCCTCTTTCTCAGTGTCTCTCATGAAGAAATAAATAAAATCTTAAAAAAGAAAAAAGCCAACTCATAATTTTCAATCCATGTTTATTTGTGGTCTAGGCAGTAGTGGGAGTGACAGGAATAGCCTAATCCAGTCACTGACCTGCTAAACTCTTTGTTGAAGATTGAGTAACCTGGGTCTGAAATAGAGAAGGAAGGAGTAATATTTTCCTTAAAAGATTTTATTTATTTATTCATGAGAGACACAGAGAGAGAGAGAGAGGCAGAGACCCAGGCAGAGGGAGAAGCAGGCTCCATGCTGGGAGCCTGACGTGGGACTCAATCCCGGGACTCCAGGATCACGCCCTGGGCCAAAGACAGGTGCTAAACTGCTGAGCCACCCAGGGATTCCCCGGAAGGAATAATATTATAAACTGAGATGTATTGGCAAATGGAGGTTGTGCAGAGAGAAGCAACAATGTAACATTAATTACATCATAACACTTAAAAACAAAATACCTCTAAATGATATCACTTCCATGTCTTCACAGGTATCCCCACTCATCTAGGAGTATTCAACTTTCATGGCCATTTAATTCAATTGTCCATATCCCAAAAGACTCAGACTTCTCACCCTTGTGGTTATTGCCATTACTGGAAATTGTGCCCATTTCCAAATCTCTCTGGATCGATCCCCACCCTTTACACAGGAAGGATAGGAAGGAAATTAGCATTATATTGAGATCTTTCCATGTGCCAGACGCTGCTAGGTGCTTTTCCTACACTCATTAAGTTTTCAATAGCCATGATGAAGGAAAAAGATAAAAGGCAAGAAGCATGTATTTATTTTCTTTTAAAGACTTATTATTTGAGAGAGAGGGCACGAATGCTCATGCACGGGCATGGGGAGGGGCAGAGGGAGAGGGAGAGAATCTCAAGCAGACTCCTTGTTGAGCACAGAGCCTGAAGTGGGGCTCAACCTCACAATCCTGAGATCATGACCTGAGCCAAAATCAAGAGAGACACTTAACCACCTGAGCCACCCAGGTGCCCCTAGGCAGGAAGCATTAAGTGTCATTGTCTTGTATTTTTGCAGGTGACAAGGATGTCTTTGTGTGCATGCCCACGGGGGCAGGAAAATCCCTCTGCTATCAGCTCCCTGCTCTGTTGGCCAAAGGCATCACCATTGTAGTCTCTCCACTCATTGCTTTGATTCAGGTGAGGCTTAGGAAAGTGAAGATGATAGCTTCAAAAGTTTAGGGGAAGGTTTTTAGTTTAGTTTGTTTTTTTTCATTTGGAAATGTCACCTCTCATTTGTTTGGTCTTTTGCCTTTTGTTTTCTTTGATTTGCCTATTTCCGTTTCTATATTGGGTTTCTGAATTGCCCAAATGTGGGGTCTCCACTAGTGCATTCATAACTAGTTGTTATGAATGAATCTTCTGTGTCTTGATGGCCTGAGCCCTTTCATTGTCTTTTGTTACTTTTCACCCAGAGGAGTACGGAAATGTATCTGTATACACAGACACTCTCTGGTCTACACACATATGTACTCTTGGTAGGTTAGAGGATGCAGATGGATGGAAAGCTAAATTGATATAAACTGGTTGGAACATTGTCAGCATCTGCTCTGCACCTCTGGCTATATTTAAGGCCTGCAGGTGGGCTGACAGAATCAGAAATGAGGAAGTATGGCCATGCGGTTAAGAGCCATCCACTGTGAAGGAGAAACAGGAGGCAGTACCAGTGCATCGTGAATTTCACGAGATCTCAGGCTTTGTGCTCAATGCTTTATGTTCATTCACTTTACTTTCGCATCGTAAAATTTCATTTAATGCTAACAACCACCCTGTTAGGTAGTTACCGGTTTTGTAGGACGTACAGAGGGACAGAATGAACTGAGTCTCAGAGGCGAAGAGCTAGCCAAAGAGCATGCAGTGATGAAGTGAGCCAGGGCTGTCTGCCTCCAGAGTCTGCGCCCTCAAGACTGCTTCACCTCCTGTACTTCTTGTTTGTGCAGAGGAGACCTTGGAGGTTGGGAGGAGAACATTTATGACTGGGAAATGCCCAGTAAGCCAAGGTGATATTTATCATTGGGTCCTCCCTTGTGGCCTGTTTCCTTTCTTCCCTCAGGACCAGGTGGACCACTTGTTGGCCCTGAAGGTACGAGTGAGTTCCTTGAACTCCAAGCTCTCAGCACAGGAGAAAAAGGAGCTGCTTTCTGATCTAGAGCGAGAAAAGCCACAGACCAAACTTCTGTACATCACACCAGAGATGGCAGCCTCACCCTCCTTCCAGCCCACCCTGAACTCACTGGTGTCCCGCCACCTGCTCTCCTACCTGGTGGTGGATGAAGCTCATTGTGTTTCTCAGTGGGGGCACGACTTCCGTCCTGACTACTTGCGTCTGGGTACCCTCCGTTCCCGCCTAGCACATGCCCCATGTGTAGCTCTGACCGCCACAGCCACTCTCCAAGTCCAAGAGGATGTGTTTGCTGCCCTCCACCTGAAGCAACCAGTTGCCACCTTCAAGACTCCCTGCTTCCGGGCCAACCTCTTCTATGATGTGCAGTTCAAAGAACTGCTTTCTGATCCCTATGGGAACCTGAGGGACTTCTGCCTCAAGGCTCTTGGACAGAAGGCTGATAAAGGGGTGAGGGCCCTCAGGCTGGGAGGCCAAGACGCTCGAGAGCAGTGGGTGGTATCTGCAACACAGAGATGGATATTGGTTTTCTAGAACCTTTGCTTTTTCTAGCTTCTTTAGAACTAGCTGAAGCTTCTTAACACTTGTGTACAGAGAGTTGTTCCTTTGATTTCTTGGCATTATTCCCCTTAGTGGAGTTCCCTGATGCTGGAATTCTGTGGGAGATGGGTGTCCAGCCCCTGAGTGAGGCCTTTGCAGACCTATCCAAGCAGAGGAGCTATATGGGTTAGGGTTTTGAACTGCTTTGTTACAAATGGCAGAGCCCTGCTGGTGGACTGCCTTACAGGAACCCGTGAGAAGGAGCGAGAGCTGCTTTTTTTTTTTTTAAAGACTTATTATTTATTTATTCAGTCAGAGAGAGCCAGAGAGAGGCAGAGACACAGGCAGAGGGAGAAGCAGGCTCCATGCAGGAAGCCCGATGTGGGACTCCATCCCGGGTCTCCAGGATCGCACCCCTGGCTGCAGGGGGCACTAAACCGCTGCGCCACCAGGGCTGCCCGCAAGAGCTGCTTTTACAGCAGGACGAGGTATAATAGGCAGATTGTTCTGTTCTCAATGCTTACTTTCTTCCCATGTCTTCTCATTCAGTTGCTGTCTGGCTGTGGCATTGTTTACTGCAGGACCAGAGAGGCTTGTGAACAGCTGGCAACAGAGCTCAGTTACAGAGGTGTGAATGCCAAGGCTTACCACGCAGGTAAGGGGTGCCTGGGCCATTTGATTCCCTTTCATCTCAGAGACCTCTCAGTGGGTCTCTTGTTCTTTAAAGATCCTGGATAATCAGCTGGTCTGTTATCTTTTTCCAGATACCCAGGCAGAGCTAAAGCAAAAAGGAGTCTAGACACAAATGAGATCTAAAATGAGAACTATGACTCCTGAATTCTTTTTTCTCCCTATGCCCTCCCAGTAGCAGTGATGAGTTTTTAGAAGGCCAGGTATTGGTGTTGTGGAGAGAGCACAGGTTTTGGAGGCCAATAGACTTAGGTTTCAATCTGGGCTTTAACGCTTATTGGGTGCTATGTGCTCCACACAAGCTAGGGTCTTTATGGGGTTAAGTGTGTGGCCCAAGGCCACGCTGCTGGTAAGTGGTTAATCAGGGTATGTGTACAGCACCCAGTACAGTGTCAAACCCAAGGTAGATTCCAAGGGAAATATGGGTTCCCTTTGCCACCTTCCCCTCCATCACAGGGCTGAAGGCTTCTGAAAGAACGCTGGTGCAGAATGAGTGGATGGAGGAGAAGGTGCCTGTCATTGTTGCAACCATTAGTTTTGGGATGGGAGTGGACAAAGCCAATGTCAGGTGAGTGATGGTTCTTGCCTTACCATCCCAGGTGGGGCTTGCCTCAAGTGACTGCCTAGTGCTCTGCCTCAAGGCCCAAGTGCATATGCTCCTTCTAGGGCCAAAGGGGAAGGAGGCCCCAGGAGCGAGTCCCCAGTGCATAGCCCACATGGTGACAGGTGCTGTGCAGCCCCCTATCAGGGGACTGCACAGCAGGGTTCTATCATTCCCCAGTAGAGGGCAGCATGCAGCCGTCAGGCCCATCCATTAGCACAGCCCAGTTCCCTGAGTCTAATGTCTGGTCCCCGTGAGGGGGTGGAATGAACTATCTTAAACTGCTCCCTGGGGAAATCCTCAGCAATGCCTTATTCCCAGCATTCCTTGTTACTGCTTACTGATCTTCCAGAAGAGATGGGTGTGTCCCAGCTTCCTAGCCCCACCCTGGCAACCCTTGGGAAGGCTTTTACCTCTAGCCCCACCTGACCTTCCAGAGACATTTTCAGCTACAGCCTGAAGCCCTTTGCTCTGATCAACACCAGCAGTAATGCCTTATATGATTTACTTGCACTTTTGCATACATGATCTCCTTAAGACTCAAGTTGATCAGGAGTGGAATGAGTCTCTGTGCTTGCGTTTACGAGAACACAAGCTTTGGAATCAGTTTGGACCCTAGGTTGGCTGTGGATCTTTAGGGCCAACTTTGAAGTCAGACACCACTAGGCCCAAATCCTAGTGCTACTGTCCCCTTGCTGTGTCACCTTGTACACATTTTTTTAATCATTTCATTGTCTATAAGGTGGGGTTATCTCATCTGATAGTAACTGTAGAATTAAGTGAGACAAATAGATAATGTTATTTATTTATAGGAGGTATATAATAATGTTGTCCCTCTCTCTCTTCAGAGAGGTTAAAGGGACTTACTTGGATCATGCAGCTTATTAGTGGCCATATATTGTTTCTTTAAGTCCAGTGCTTTTTCTCCTGGGCCTGTGACACTGAGGGTTTTTGGTTTCTCATATGTGCTGAAATTGTTCCTCTTAACTCTGCTGTGGCCTCTGACTTGGCCACTCCATGGCCAGGAGATCTACTGATGGGGTACAGGGGTCATGGCCACATTTCTTCTGGAACCTGCTAGCCTCCCTGCTCCTGGTGGCCACAGAAAGCCCTGCTTCCCTGGTTCTGATCACTCCTCTCCTCAGCTCTTCTGCCACAGCTCATGCTGCTTGTCCCTTTGGATCCTACAGGTTTGTCGCCCACTGGAATATTGCCAAGTCTATGGCTGGGTACTATCAAGAGTCTGGCCGGGCAGGCAGAGACGGGAAGCCTTCCTGGTGCCGCCTCTATTACTCCAGGAATGACCGGGACCAAGTCAGTTTCCTGATCAGGAAGGAAGTAGCAAAACTCCAGGTAAGTCCTGGGCAGCAGGAGCCCTTTCTGTCCAAACTCCCTCCCACTCTCCAGTTTCACGCAGCTTATTTCTGAACCTAGGCAGCTTGCAGCAGCTAGGTTAGACTTTTTCCTTTAATGGATCTTAGTGTGACTTTTGTGTGCCTGTTATTTTACATAGCCAAGATCAATCCTGTCTTGTGTTTTAGGGTGGGGAGGGGCAGAGGGAGAGAGAGAATCTTAAATGGGCTCCGCAGTCATGAGACCATGACCTGAGCTGAAATTAAGAGTCCGATGCTTAACCGATGGAGCCTCTCAGGCGCCTCAGTCCTGCCTTGTTTTAATTAGCATTGTTATATAAGAATTTTTCCACATTGTTGAAAGTTCTGTGTTTTGGTTTTCAGCTTGCTTGCTTGCTTTTTTCTTTCTCTCTTTCTTTTTTCTTTTAACCAAGTACCTAAGTGAACTTGATGTATGATAGGTGACTTTATAAGTCAACAGAAAAGGATGCACTCTTGAATAATTGGTGCTGGAGAAAGATAAAATCAGATACCTACCTCCTCTACCATACACATATGAATTACAGGTACAGTAAGGATCTCAAAAAGGGGTAAGGGACCCCTGGGTGGCTCAGTGGTTGAGCATCTGCCTTCAGCTTGGGGCATGATCACAAGGTCCTGGGATTGGGTCCTGCACTGGGCTCCCTGCATGGAGCCTCCTTCTCCTCCCTCTGCCTATGTCTCTGTCTCTCATGAATAAATAAATAAAATCTTTTAAAAAACCTGTAAAATTGGGGGGAAATATTTTATTTCCTTGACAAAGGGATGAGCATGTCAGGATTTTAAAAGTGGAATCCAAGGAAGACCTGGCTATTTGGCTAAATCCAAACTAAAAATTTCTATGTAATAAGAGATACCATAAACAAGGTGAAAAAATGAGCCATTGTTGGGGAAGGTATTTGCAATATGCATAATTGAGAGAATTCCTATTGGTGACTCTGTAAAAGGCAGATAACTGCAGAGCAGAAAGTATGAATTTCACAGAAGAGGGAACCAGAATATCTAATAAAGGTATGAAGAGTTGCTTGGCCTCCCTTAGAAATCAGAGACTTGTAAAAGAGATGATGAGCTGTCACTTTATACTCATCATACTGGCAAAAATGTCCAACATCTTTATAATCACTGTTGGTGAGGTTGTGGGGAAAGGGGAACTCATGGTGTTGTCAGGAATATGGACTGATATGACTGCTTTGAAGAGAGACGAGGCAGTACATGTAATGGGAGGATTATGGTGCTCTGTGATTCAGTAATTCCACTTCTAGATAAACAAGTTGTCATGACGCGTATAAGGAAGTACAGGGATGTTTGCTGCAACTCCGTCATAATGAACTCTTCCTCTATACAGTATCGGATAACCCAGTGTTTACTGGGTTAGTCACTCGGTGGAATGATCTAAAGCAGTTAAAAATGACACCATAAATCTACATTAACCAACACGGATAAAGACCTCAGAGCATAATTTGTGAAGTTGCAAATGGAGATGTGGAGCCTTTTTTTACCCCCACCGACATTTTAATAAGTTTTTTTTTAAGATTTTAATTTATTTATTTATTTATTTATTTATTTATGAAAGAGAGGCAGAGACACAGTTAGAGGGAGAAGCAGGCTCCATGCAGGGAGCCTTCTGTGGGACTTGATCTCGGGACTCCAGGATCATGCCCTGGGCTGAAGGCAGGCACTAGACTGCTGAGCCACCCAGGGATCCCGACTTTTTCTTATAAGAAATATTGAATGCCAAATGAAAGAAATATTGAACACAAGTACTTATATCTGATCTTTACCAAAATGAGGTTAAAAGGACAAAAGTTTTATAAACCCACAGGGACAAGAAGAATAGAAAACAAGGTAGAAATGTCAATAAATGTCTGCCTAGAAAACCCCTGACTCTACTGGAAACCTATCAGAGTTCATAAGAAAACCTGGCAAGATGTCTATATGTAAAGGATATATTTTTTAAAGCCTAGCTTTTCTCCACATTACCATGAATGCCTAGGAATGGAAATGAAAAAATATTAAATTTGCAAGAATAAAACTTATAAAATACCTAAAAGTAGGGGTGCCTGGGTAGTTCAGTCAGTTAAGCGTCTGCCTTTGGCTCAGTTCATGATCTTAGGGTCCTGGGATCAAGCCCCACATTGGGTTCCCTGCTCCTTCCTCCCTTTCCCTCAGTCTCTCCCTGTCTCTCTGCCCCCTCCTTCACTCATGAGTGTTCTCTCTCTCTCTCTCTCTCCAATAAAAAAACCCCGAAAACTCACCACTTTGTATTTTTTGTTTTAAACATTTTATTTATCTATTCATGAGAGACACAGAGAAAGAGAGGCAGAGACATAAGCAGAGGGAGAAGCAGGCTCCCTGCGAGGAGCCCGATGCAGGACTCGATCCTAGGACCCTGGGATCACGACCTGAGATGAAGGCAGATGCTCAACTACTGAGCCAGCCACCCAGGTGCCCTCCCCACTTGGTTTTAACATGCAGCCAGGGATGGAAACTACTGATTGAGATAAAGAAAACTAATAGCTCGTTGAAAGAAAACAGGCTTTGAGTAGGCATAAAAACTGAGTGGGAAGACGTACAGCTACATACAGTTCTCCTCAAAGTTAATATAAATGAAGTTCCAGTAGAAATCCTAAAAGACTCCTATTGGGAAGTGGAATCTTAGAACTTATGTGAAAGAAGAGCCCAAGAACAGCCAGGAAAAGTCAGGACAGGAAGAATGGTGAAGGGGATGAATTTAACTCAGTGTCAGAATGTGCTGGGGTGTTGCTGTAACCAAATGCATTTAATACAGCAGCAAGCTGTGGTACAAAGAAATTAGAATTCAGTCCCAGAACACGTGAGAGTTTAATATGTGATGAAGCTGATAGTTCAATTTAATGGAAAATGAAAGGATTGTCTAGTAGGTGGTATGGGCATCCCTTTGGAATAAAATAAAAGTGCCCCGTTTAACACCTTATATAAAAGACAGATTTAAGGACCTACATGTAAAAAATAAACAATGTTTTGTAAGACACTTTATTGCATGTATAACCTAGGGCTTGAAATAGTTTTGTAATGGAAATTGGAAATTCAGAAAACTATATTTTATTTTATTTTTAAGATTTTATTTATTCATGAGAGACAGAGAGAGAGAGAGGCAGAGACACAGGCAGAGGGAGAAGCAGGCTCCATGCAGGGAGCCCGACATGGGACTTGATCCCGGGTCTCCAGGATCACACCCCAGGCCGAAGGTGGCACTAAACCACTGGGCCACCGGGGCTGCCTGAAAACTATCTTTTAAAGAAAGTATTTGAATTAAAGTTCTTGAACTTTTATAAATCCTTAACCTGTGGGGGAAAAAAACATTCAGCAAAAGATACCATAAACAAAGCCAGCACATAAACAGCAGATCTGGAAAACTAGTTATGTAGAGGGCAAACCAGAGGTTGATGTTGAGGATAAATGGAGAGATTTCACCAACTGACAGGAAAAAGCAAAGTGTGTGAAAGTGGGTTCCCAGAAAAGCTCATCCAAACGGTACATCCAAAGACATTCAAATTCAATAGTAATCAGATAAGTGCAAATTAAAAATAAATGACATGTGAAAGGGCTCTAACACTCATTGCTAGTGGGCATGTGCAGGAGAGGGCCTGCACTTTGGAGAAAAATGAAGTGTTGCAGTCTTTTTAGGGGGAAGCATTCTAGCAATATCTATTACATTTTATTTTCTTATTTTTAAAAAATATTTATTAGAGAGAGAGCGTGAGCTGGGGGAGGGGCGGAGGGAGAGGGACAAGCATACTCTGTGCTGAATGTGAAGCCTGATGATTCCATGACCCCCAGATCATGATCTGAGCCAAAATCAAGAGTCAGATGCTCAAATGACTGAACCACCCAGGCACCGCCTATTGCACTTTAATATGCAGTTATCCTTTGCCCCAGATACCATATTTCTGGCGCCAAATCGCCTGAAATAAAAGCAGCAGTGCACAAGCTTGTGCCTGAGCGCTTGTGTGGTAGAATTGGTCATGAGGACTGAAACTGAAGAACAAACTAAATACTCGGCCACAAGCAGTGATAGAATTATAGTACATGCTCACCATGGGGCCATAGGCACAACTGAGCACCCAGGAGGGTTCTTCTCTTGGTTTTTGAAAAAGAAATCACGTTGATTACTGTGTGACATTATAGATTTGCTTATTCTCTATCTGCTCTGTCAAAGTTTAAGTTCCTTGAGAGCAGGGACCTTTTGTGTCCTGTATATCTGTAATGGCCAGACCAGTGCTGGGAACATAGTAAGTGCTTAATAAATTTTTTTTGAATAGAGAAATGAATGAATGAATGAATGAATGAATAGGGAGAGGAGGTGAATACAAGTTGGGATTGGGAAGGAAGGGGCCTTTTGTGGACCTGGTACTCTGCCAGGAATGAAGGGGGCATGATTAACTTGTCCCTTTTATCTGAAATTCAAATTAGACAAAGAAAAGATATTGGTAAGATGATTAGGTATGAGATATTTATTTAAAACTTACAGTGAGATATAAGAACTCATGCTAAGCTTATCAATAAGACATGTAAGACAGAGACAAGATCCAGAAAGCTTCCAGAGAGGTGATACATGGAGGACTGGTAGCCAGAACAGCACCAGTTTTCTCCATCATAATATCAGAAACAAACAATGAAACAGTGCCTTCCAATTCTAGATAAACTGTTTCCAACCTAGAATTTTCCACCCGGTCAGCCAATTAAGTGTAAAGGCAAGTTAAAAAGACATTTACAGCTTCCAGTTTGATAAGCGGAGTTCGGAAGTGTTGGTCTTTACAGGCTCTGGGGATAGAAGGGTGTTGATAGCCTCAGCAAAGTGCTCACATTCTCCTGCTGTGCAGGGATTTAACCACCACCATGTCAAGCAAAAAGGCAAAGACCAAGACCACCAAGAAGCACCCCCCCAATGCTCAACATCCAATGCATTCACCCTTTCTGACCATAGATTCAGAAATTCAAAGAGGCCTTCAACATGACTGATCAGAACAGAGATGGTTTCATTGACAAGATTTACCCTGATATGCTTGCCTCCCCGGGGAAAAAAAATCCAACTGACGAGAATCTGGATGCCATGATAAATGGGGCTCCAGGGCCCATAAATTTCACCATGTTTGGTGAAAAGTGAAATGGCACAGATCTGGAAGATGTCCTCAGAAATACTTTTGCTTGCTTTGATGAAGCAACTGGCACCATCCGGGGAGAGCTGCAGACAGCAGTGGGAGGCAACGTTACAGGCAAGGAAGTGGATGAGCTCACAGAGAAGCACCTGGACCAAAAGGGAAATCTCAATTCATGTGCATCCTTAAGCCAGGGGGAGCAAAAGACAAAGATGACTGAAAAGAACTTTGGTTCCAGCCAAACGTTCCTTGTGGCCACTTGGGGTATTTCTGAGACTTTGCATTCTCTTAGCTTTGCAGCTTTTGCCTTTCTTGTATTTGTTTTCAGCCATTTTGGGCACAAGCATCTCTATAATCAGACCGGAAGTGGGGAGACTTTTATGATTTTTCAGAATTGAAAATGGGGCAGTTTAATTTGCTAGCTCCTTCCTCCCCCCAAATAACTGCAGTCTACACAGTTTTTTTTTTTTTTTTTTTTTTAGAGAAAGTTATCTCATTTTTTTCTGAACCATAATTAGACTTTATGATAAAAAAAAAAGACATTTTTGGACACAGGGTTTCAAGAAACTTCCTCCTGTGGAAAAGCTACTGAAGGATGACCCCCACCCCCCAGCCCCCAAGAGGCAGTAATTGGAGAGGGGAAGATAGAGATCTGACCCAAGCCAGGCAGAAGGAATGTCCTGGGGGTGCCACTGAAGGACAGTCTCAGCTGTGCACACCAGGGCAAGGGAGAGGCAGTTCACATTGAACCTAGAAGGACAGAAGGCTCGGTTGGGGGGGATGTTTCTAAAAATAAAAGTGAAACCTGCCATCTTTGGCCGCTGTTGACATGAATTTTTCATTATATCACAGCATTTGGGGGGTGAAAGAGAAATATACACTAAAATCTAAGTAAGTGAAAAAGTGTAACAGGTTTTTTTTTTTTTTTTATGATAGTCACACAGAGAGAGAGAGAGGGAGGCAGAGACATAGGCAGAGGGAGAAGCAGGCTCCATGCACCGGGAGCCCGACGTGGGATTCGATCCCGGGTCTCCAGGATCGCGCCCTGGGCCAAAGGCAGGTGCTAAACCGCTGCGCCACCCAGGGATCCCTAAGTGTAACAGTTATTAATTTTGGGAGGACAAAGTTGTTCAAGAAAGGGATATGTGATCATGAGAAATATAAAAATATAGTCACATGGTTTTTGCTCTGGTCTGATGTAGGTTTATTTATATGCGCTTGGGAAGTGGGGATGATTCATTCACCTTCCAGAAGCAGAAAGTCAATATTTAAGATTTCAGATATCAGTGTCTTATATTTTCAAAGTTCCTTTTCTGTATCTTTTTCTTTATTTTTGAAAATTTCACAATTTTTTGAAAGGAAATTTTGACAGACATGTACAAAAAGGCAAATAATGCATAATCTCAGCACTCAGAAGAAATCACTGCTCACATTATATACCCTTCTCTACACACAGAGGTATATGTGTTCTTTCAAATCTAAATACATTTGTGCATATATTTACTATTAAATTGGACATATTGGGCAGCCCAGGTGGCTCAGCAGTTTAGCACCACCTTTGGCCAGGGCGTGATCCTGGGGTCCTGGGATCAAGTCCCGTGTCGGGCTCCCTGCATGGAGCCTGCTTCTCCCTCTGCCTGTGTCTCTCATGAATAAATAAAATCTTTTTTTTTTTTTTAAGAATTTTTTTTTTTTTTTTATTCATGATAGTCACACAGAGAGAGAGAGAGAGAGAGAGAGAGGCAGAGACATAGGCAGAGGCAGAAGCAGGCTCCATGCACCGGGAGCCCGACGTGGGATTCGATCCTGAGTCTCCAGGATCATGCCCTGGGCCAAAGGCAGGCGCTAAACCGCTGCGCCACCCAGGGATCCGAATAAATAAAATCTTAAAAAAATAAATTGGACATATTACATTGGAGAACCTGGCTGGCTTATTCAGTGGAGCATGTGACTCTTGATCTTGGGGTTGTGAGTTTGAGTCCCATGTTGGGTGTAGAGATTATTTAAAAATAAAATCTTAAAAAAAAAATCTGTATCTTATTATGTAGGATTCCCAAATGCCAGTTCCTGGGACCTCTGCATAAGAACCACCTGAGCAGCTTTTTGAAAATAAACTCCAAAAGTTCTGGCTCCAAAAAGTTCAATTCAGTAGCCTGGGTGTGGGCCCCAGGTCACTTTTTAAAAGTTATAGGTGGGGGACACCTGGGTGGCTCAGCGGTTGAGGGTCTGCCTTTGGCTCAGGATGTGATCCTGGAGCTCTGGGATCGAGTCCCGCATCAAGCTCCTGCATGGAGCCTGTTTTTCCTCTCTCTGCCTGTGTCTCTCATGAATAAATAAATATTTTTAAAAAATATAAAAAAATTTAAAAAATAAAAATATAAAAAAATTAAAAGTTACAGATGAAGGACGCGTGGCTGGCTCAGTCAATAGAGTACGCGACTCTTGAGCTCAGGGTTGTGAGTTTGAGCCCCTAGTTGGGTGTGGACATTGCTTGAAAATAAATCCTTTTTTTGGGACACCTGGGTGGCTCAGTGGTTGAGCGCCTGCCTTTGGCCCAGGGTGTGATCCTGGAGTTCCAGGATCGAGTTCCACGTTGGGCTCCTGCATAGAGCCTGCCTCTCTCCTTGTCTCTCATAAATAAATAAAAATTAAAAGAAAAATCTTTTTTTTTAAAGATTTTATTTAATCATGAGAGATACACAGAGAGAGAGGCAGAGGCACAGGCAGAGAGAGAAGCAGGCTCCATGCAGGGAGCCCAATGTGGGACTCAATCCCGGGTCTCCAGGATCACGCCCTGGGCTGCAGGCGGCGCTAAACTGCTGAGCCACCCCAAAAATCCTTTTTTTTAAAGATTATTTATTTATTCATGAGAGACACAGGGAGAGAGAGAGAGAGAGGCAGAGACATAGGCAGAGGGAGAAGCAGGCTCCCTGCAGGGACCCTGATGTGGGACTCTATTCCAGGACCCCAGGATTACGACCTGGGCCAAAGACAGATGCTCAACCACTGAACGACCCAGGTGCTCTGTTAAAATCTTAAAAAAAAAAATAAAGTTATCCAGGTGATTCTGAGGTATGGTTAGATTTGGGGACACCCATTTTGCAAATGGCTTTCTTACTATCATTTGATGCTTCTTCCCTCATCATCCTTTAGGCTGCAAGGTAGTTCAGCTATGTAAGGCTTTTGCTAAGTGGTCTTTTCTTGCCTGCAGGAAAAGAGAGGGAACAAAGCATCTGATAAAGCTGCTATCTTGGCCTTTGATGCCCTGGTCACCTTCTGTGAAGCATTGGGGTGAGTGACTTATTTCATATGTGGAGTGACATTTTAGATCTTTCTTCCCCCAATGCCTACTAGTTAACCAACTAATGTAGGGCAGCTCTTAGGCGACCAAGGCACTGTCGCCTGTCGAAGGCTATTGTGTGGGGTGTTTCCTGTCAGGCAGCCTGCAAGTCAGTATCCTTGCCAGGAAGGCTCCAGAAACTGGCAATGTGAAGACTCATTCAGTATTTCGGGTGGTTTTCCAGCCACCCAACTCCACTCACTTCTGGAGTGGCTGGTCCCATGAGTGAGTCATGAATCATGTGACTGGTTCTTGAGCCATTAGCATTGTGGTCGTCACTTGACACTGAACTGGACCACTGGCTTCACTTGAGTAAGAGTCATTCTTATCCTGGATTTGAGAGGAGCTACGTGACCTACCTTATCTCTTGGGGGTGGGGTGGATAATAAGCTTGGAGAGAATTCAACTTTTTTTTTTTTTTTAATTCAGCTTTTTCTATTGTAACACCATACAGCCCACTTGGAGTCCACTTCTCTGTTTCATCTGTATGTGCTGGTGGTAGAAGTTTGGAAGAGCCTGATGGCTGCTCCGTGACAGGCAGGTTGTGGCAGGACAGGTTCGAGACATGAGGGACACTCAGGATGATTCTGGAATATCTGGGAGCACTTTTTAAAATATTTTATTTATTTATTCATGAGAGACACAGAGAGAAGGCAGAGACATAGGGAGAGGGAGAAGCAGGTGCCTCACAGAGAACCTGGTGTGGGACCTGATCCCGGAACTCTGGGATCACGCCCTGAGCCAAAAGATGCTCAGCCACTGAGCCACCCAGGAGTCCCTAGCTGGGAGCACTTTGTATGTATGCAACCCTTTGGTCTAAGAAACTCACATGGGTCAGACCTCGTTGGACAACTCTGTAAGGTAGATGAGGCAGGAGTGATTGCTTCAGACTTAGAGATGAACAGACCGATGCCCAGAGAGGTCATGGTCACAAAGCTCCCAGGAGACAGACACCACTAAACCTGGGTCTCCTGATTTTTAGTGACATGTGCATCTCACATACATGTCCCAGCTTGGTTTTTGCAAGACTAGATTTTTGAGGCACAGAGCTGAGTAAGTACATAGACCTGGTGTCCAGCAGATGTTTGAGGCTCTCCTCTGGAAACCAGAGAGGTGCTTATTTATAGGGCCACGTGTTTTGCTTCCCACCCCCTCCTACTCACTGATGATTTGGTGGCTCCTTTGAGACTGAGTCTCCCACTTGACCTCCCTGGCACAGCCACGCCCAGCAGAGGTGGTTGGCACCCTTGCCCACATCCATTGCAACTAGAGCCCTTTTCAGGCTCTCATAGAGGGAGTTGTTAAACTAGGCCTTCAGGCTCCTTGAGCAAAATGCTCATAATGAAAGGGCCCAGGGTCCTTGCTAATTATCAGAGTCCCTTCTGCTGGAAATAACCCTTCTGGGTTCTTTTCTGGGATGAGTCTGAGGCTCTGTAGGGCTGAGGGGTTAGTTCTGCTGTATCTCTCTGGGCTGCAGCAGTCCACCTGGCAACAGGACGGGTCCTTCTAGGGACCTGTGTCATACTGGGGAGCTGGGGCCTCTTAGTGCGTTGAGGGTCTAGGCATTGGTGTGCCTCCTGCTGCGCCACGTGCAGCCTCATCTCTCCTACCTGTGTGCTACCTGCGAGGATTCCAGATTCCAGGACTTCCTGGGATGGAACGAACACCGCTGGTGTGGCTGGATGTGACATTGCTCTTTGAGTAAAAAGGAATGCTTCTTTATTGCATAAATGGCATATCGCCTGTTCCCCACCAGATATTTGCTCTTTTTCTAAGAATAGTCCTCGTTTGTGGGTTAAGTGAAAGCAACTGTTTGCTAAGGGAGGGCACCTGGCAGCAAGGGGCAGGCTGGCATGGTGGCTTTGGCGGAGGCAAGTATGTGCCTACAGAGGTGGTGCTGTAGGGTCTGGAATGCATGGGGGACTGTGGCACCCTGTGTAGGATACCTGGGCATTTCCGGGACCAGTGGCAGAGACACTCAGGTCAGTATGAATGAGGTCGGGGGCGGCCATCCAGTGATGTTCCTGTCTTCTCTGCACACAGCTGTTTTGTCTGAGCTGTGGCCATAGAAAGTATTTGTTCACTCAGGACTGTGCTCTTCATCTTTTAGTATGCAAAGGACCAGTCATTAGGTTGAAGCAGCTCCCAGCTTAGAGGCCTCTGGACCTTGTCTGAGATAGAAGAACAGGCTTGTGTTTGGGCCTTAACTGAAGCGGGCACTGTCATCCGGGGACTATGGTCCAGAGGAGCCCGAGAGCCCAGCCCATTAGCCCGACAGCCCAGACCTTCTGTTTATCCATTTGTTTGGTCATTCATTCATGCATTCATTCGTTTATTCAACCACCAAATATTGACTGAAACTGACTGTGCCAGACACATTGGGTATGGGAGATACAGTGGTGAACAGAAAGAGACCCATCCCCTGCCTTTTTGGTGTTTGGCCCAGTGGGGAAGATGGGTACTTATCAGATAAGCACATTAGTTATGCGAACGTGGATGTGTAATTGCAGATTCTTAAAAGGTCTCTGAAGAAAAGGTACATGGTGTTTTGAGAGTTAACAGTGGGCCCCTTCCTGAGCCCCAAAAGGCCAGTCACAGCTCTTCACACTGGTTGGTGTTCTCAGCCGGACTTAAGAAACCAAATACGATGGCAAACATAACAAGAGACAGGATCGTGACGATGAATAAGCCGATCACTGCTAGGCCTCCCTGGTCCCAGGGGTTCTCCCAGAACTCATCATTCCACATGTGCTTCTGCTTTATCAGCTTGTCTACGTAGACCTGGAAAAGCGGGGATGGAGCCCTTGAGTGCTGGGACCTCCCTAGGTGCTGTCCCAGGCGCTGCTGTCCACCCCCGACTTCACCCTCTGGACTGGTCTCAGCACAGCCGGTGCTCCTCCACAGGGGTAGTGGGCTGAGATCTAGACTTTAAAGCACCCCGCCACAGGTCCTTGCTGTTTTTTCTGCCTCAACTGCCAAACATTTGGGAAGCATTTTGAGAGATGAGCATGGGAGTCGAAAAGCGGACTGACTCCAGCTGAGGCCTCGGTAAGCTCCCTTGGAGGCAGCTACAAGCAGAACTAGCTAATCTTGAGCAGCTAAGGTCAGCAGGCTGCGGGCCTGTAGCCCATTGAAGGGAGTAACGGCGGCGAGAAGGAAGGAATCCCTACCTGATTCTGCTGTTTCGGCTCCTGTGTCCTTAGAGTGGGCCAGTAGGGTAATCCTGCAGGCCCCACGCTTTGGGTGCCCGAGCTGCACCCGGATTTGAAGCAGCTGTTGGGAGGAAAAGGTGTTGGTATTGCCAAGTGGCCCTGACCAGACCCCATGTACTGACACTGGAGCCAACAAAGGTGGGCTAGGGCCCGTTGCCAAGCAACTGCATTCCCCTGCTGCCTTTCATACTTACCCTGTCAGCTGCGTTCTGTCCTTTTTGTGATGTCGTATTGGGGGCTGCTCAGGGTACGGATGTTCAGGCGTCTTCACTGAGAGAAGTCAGGCTTGGGGTAGGATGGGGAAAGAGACTGGATCCAGGACCCTTGCCTCAAGCCCCCTATCTGCCTCACCTGTGGCTGGGTCCTGCGTCTCCTCTCTGTATGGCTGCTGGCCTGTGAACTGGGAGGCCCTCGCCAGAGTGCAGGAAGCCCAGGACTTGAGGAAGCCCTGGGTTGGAGCTGCACAGGGGCTGTTCTCTTCCTGTGGCGCTGGAGTGCTGGTGAATGTTTAACTAGCTCCAGCTGGTACCTCCTGGAAGGTGTTTCTTTGTGGGGGTGTATTATCACTGTTGAGGCTCCGGGGTCCTGCCTTTGCCGGCCTCTTGAGGTACAGCTGCAGCTGCTTCATGTGATTGGTTCCTACCAACCATACAGTTGTGATAGGGCAGCTAGGAAGCAGAAATGGAAACCTAGTGGCCACCATTTATTCCTTAAAAGTTAGGATTCAAGTGCCTGGTGTGGCCAGGAACTGCGGTAGGTACCTTGTGTCCACCATGAACCAAAGGAGGCTGGCCCTGCCCACCCAGGTTTCCATTCTAGCTTGCTTGGTCCTCAGCCCTGCTCATTAGACTCATCTGGGCCCTGCCTGGTACCACTTAGCTCAGTCTCTGGGCAGTCAGAGCCCCGTGCTCTGCAAAGCTGGCCAGGTGATGTTAACCTGCAGCCAGGGTTGGAGGAGTAGATGATTAACGAGTTCAGTAAAGTCCTTATCTGTCATAGGCTTACCTGATACTTTGAGTTTCCCTCCGGAAAACGTTGTGATGTGTGCCCCTGGCTGCTCAATGTTCCCAGCCCGCAGGCAGGTCTCTAGCATACCTACCTCCATCCTGTTGGATGCTTATCAGGAGTCAGCTGTTTGTTCCCAAACCTGTTTGTGGCATTTGTCCTTATTATTGTAATGACGTGATTGCACTTAATGTTACATAAAAACATGGAGCAACAGTAATAGCTGAAACCCCAGTTTTATAGCTGAGGAGCAAGCACGGAGGTTAAGCAACTTTTACCCAAGGTCCTACAACTAAGAAGTAACTGGGCAAGGGTGGGGATCGTGTGTGTGTGTTTAAACCCACCTGTTGAGCTCCACTGCAGAGACTGAGCTCTGAAGCTCCCTGTTGCACCTCAAGGGGGTGGGGGTTAGTGGGAGCTGTTGCTATAAAGCACCTATTGGACCACTTTGGAATGACTTTGGAATCACTCAGTATTTCTGTCAAGACAGATGTGGCAAGCCAACTGGAGATGTTTTGCAAAAATCCAGGATTTCACATGCCGATTTCTTTGTGGATGTCTTCTTGTTCTGCTTTACAGTAACCACAGTTAGTAAAGAGCCAACATAGGAACTCTCTGGCCTGCACATGCCACACTCAGAGGAAAGACCCCAGCAAAAAGATTTGCCCCCCCCAGCAAAAAGATTGGCCAAGGAATGTGCACGTATATGTTTATTTTTTTTAATTTTTTTAAAATTTATTTATGATAGTCACAGAGAGAGAGAGAGAGAGAGAGGCAGACACAGGCAGAGGGAAAAGCAGGCTCCATGCACTGGGAGCCTGATGTGGAATTCGATCCCAGGTCTCCAGGATCGCGCCCTGGGCCAAAGGCAGGCGTGAAACCGCTGCGCCACCCAGGGATCCCACGTATGTGTTTCCATTTAAAATGAGGTGTGTAGGGAATGGTATGTGTCATGCACACAGAAGTGGCTTTGACCAACTCTTCCAATTAATTGCTGGCTATGATCAGAAAATTCTGCCGAAATGATCACCATGAAGGGAACGTTATAGGAAGACGTGGAGAATTGTGTTGGTGTGTGTGGCATAGCCTGGCCTAGGGGCTGAAGGGATCCCCTGTAAGGAATGAGGTTAGGTTGAGGCAGGAAGACAATGTACAAGGTGGGGCTAGGGGACAATGTTTCATGGCAAGCATCAGGTCCCTAGGAGGGTGAGAAACTGTTTTTGAGAACAAAATTACCTTGTCCTCAGCTCTTTGGTCTGGAAGTTGTGTTAACCACAAGCAACTCTGTCATGAAGATTTTTACTATAGGTTGCTCTCAAATGTTAATGGTTGAGAAAGCAGATTTAGAAGAAAAGTGTTTTATGTGCTCTCTACCAGGTTTTGCTTGTGCAATTCTTGCACGGGTGGCTCTTCTGTGGTTTCTAATAAGGCATGAGAGCCGGTGAAATGCACAGATCTCAAATGTAGATCTTTGGAGGAAGCGAGAGCCTCCTGTAGAGTAGAGGCCAGAGTCAGAGGAGGCTTGACAAGGCTGGAAAATCTGTGCAGCAGTGAGGGTAGGGAAACCTTGGGGGTGGGGGTGGCTTGTTCCAGGGGGGCTGGTGGCAGGAATGGAGACCTGTGATAAGCAGATGCCCTTCGGGGCTCAGACAGCCTGCTGACCTCCCCTTCCATGGCCACCATTGCTACTTCCCACAATGGGGGGATTGCTCTTCCTGAGAAGACCCATGGTGGGAGTGTGCCAGGCCTCTGCCCTGCTGGAGCCGATCTGGTTTGTTGAGCTGAGTGGGATTGAACCACTGCCGTGGGGAGCCGTTAGTGGTGGGGCTCAGCCTGGGCCAGTCTGCTGCCAAGTGGGAAAGGAGTAAGCCTTCTCAGAAACGTAGGGAAGGCATCTTACTTGGGCTTAGTATTTAGGAAGAGGAGAACACCAAAGACCCGGCCTATGGTCCCTACCTCTTGGCAGCCAGACCATGGAGCCAGAATCTCCTAGCAGAGGCACAGCCTCAGCCACCCTCAGCCACCCTCAGGCTTGCTTATGGGAGAGTCACATGAGAATTGGGCTGTCCCATTGTCAGAGCATCTCCTGAACTGAGGGCTGAATAGGGCAGGGTTTCCCATCCGTTCCCTCCCACCTCCCCTGTTTTCCTTCAGGGAGGGAGACCTAGTTGGGCCCCACCCTAGCTCTTACTTGGGCTCCACCCAGTCACAGGGAGGTGATTTTTAGACAGCTTGGGGTGTGGGATGTAGGATTGGTTGATGGAGGATAATGGGATGCGAGCCTGATCTGCACTGCAGCTGGTAGGCCTCAGGGCCTTGGGTGTGGTCATCAGGGGCTCTGCAAGCCCCTTGGGCTGGGCCCAGAGGCTGGCTCTGCCACTTTTCAGCTGGTTGAACCTAGGAAAGTCACCTCGTGTTGCTAGGGCTCAATTTCCTCAACTCCAATGTGGGGATGGTCATGGTACCTATGGCCTTTGAGGCTGTTGTGATCAAACAAATTCACTTGCATCAGAATGCTTTAGGCAGTGGCTGAGCACGCATAAACCCCTCAAGGAATTTCTGCCAACTTGATCATCACCTGCTATTTTCACCATTCTCATCCTTTCTATTGTTATTCTGAATCCTATTCTTGTGGGGTAGAGGGCACAGGCTGGTTCTTGAGTTTCTTTTCTTTTGTGTGGAAGGACTTCCTCTCTGGGTCTTCAACCTAAACCAAACAGCAGGAAGTGAAACTCACCAGAGTTTCTCCCACCTGCCTGCCAGCCCGAGATGGGGGTGGGGGCAGAGCCTGGCATCCCCTCTCCACTGTTTTCTGGGTAGACAGGGCTCCACATCTAGGCAGCCAGAGCACGCAGACCTCTCTGTGGCTCTGGGGGGCCAGTGGGGCAGGAGGGGGAAGACACCATGGAGAGCTTTTGGACTCCCCTACCCTCATTCCTGGGTTGGTAGTTCTACCTGGAAAGTTCTCTGGAAGAGAAAGTAAACTGAAGGGAGGGAGGCAGGGTGGTGGTGTTGCATCGCAGCAGGGCCAGTCCTTAAAATGGGTCCACGTTGCTCTTGTTTTAGACGGGCAGATAATGACAGTGGTTCATATCTGCAGCGCTCTCAGGATATGCCCAGCACTGTGCCAAGTGCTGTACGTCATCTTAGTTTCTCTTCACCCCAGGAGGTAGCTACCAGGGTTAACTGCGTCTCAGAGGGGAGGAAATGTGGGTCAGGGAGGTTGAATCATTAACCTGCATTCACACAGCCAGTGAGTGATGCGGTGAAGATTTGCATCCAGACAGCCTGGCACACAATAGGGAAAGGACAGAGGGGCTGGGATGCAGCTTATGGACGATAGTAGGGGCCTGACCTCTCTTCTCAGACTCTAGAAGTTTGGGAAGACCTGGTGGCCTGAGCCTGCTGGTGTGGGGCGTGCAGGCTTAAGTAAATGGCCGCGGAAGCTGTGGAGTGGCATTCCTGAGCCCAGCATCCGGCAGACACCACCTGGGCACTGCGGAGGGGGCATCTGGAAACCAGAGCTCATTAGCAGCTGGTGCTGACGGGACTTTCACCCTCACCCTTCCCCCAGCTCCGTCTTGCATGGCATTCCTGCCTGTGTGTTTTTCCAGCTTTCGTGGGTACAGCGAGAGCAGAGGCCTGGCAAGGACAGTCACCGGCCACACCCTTGGAATTCTGGCACATTGCCCTTCAGAAGCACAGAGCCCAGGCCGGGGAGTCTGGTGCCACAGAAACACGTAACAGGAAAGCTTTTACTGGGAAAGAAATGGGAAAATACTGGAGTAGAATACTGACATGCTCCCCTCCCGGGGGAAGCTTAGGCTCCAGTAGCTATTGCACAAAGCTCTTCTTTGGCACGGGAGCCCCACGGGCCAGCTCCCCACAGGCGCAGGCTGTTCTCCATCCAAGTACGGGGACTCTGCTTCTGTGTTTTGTTGAAAGGTACAGGTTGGGGAAAATCCCTAGTTTTTGTTTGCTCAGTGTTTTAAACCGTTAACTCCTCCTTGGCACCCAGGATTCACCGGCAGGTCAGAGTTTGGTGGCTGTACCAGCCCTTGTTTCCTTGGTAAGGGCTGCAGGTGTCAGGTTCCTAGGCAGGGCCAGAGCTGGGGCCACGGATCGCAGTCTTGTGAGCTGAGGGCCACAAGGCCAGGTGCCACCTGGGGTCATGGCTTTGGCAGCCTCCTTTCCAATGTCTCCTCCTCTCTGTCCTTCACGGTGGGGTCATGGGCCGCACTTGGACCTTCCTGCCTCTGCGCTCAGGGCAGCAGCAACAGCTGCAAGCTATCAACAGCAACAGCAGCACAGTGGCTGGGGCCGCAGGGGAGAGAAGCAGAGAGCACAGGAAGCTCAGGCAGGGGGACACAGGGAACACACACCCAACTTCTAAAGAAACCCCTCTGGGGGCACCTAGATGGCTCAGTGGTTGAGCCTCTGCCTTTGGCTCAGGTCATGAACCCCGGGGTCCTGGGATCGAGTCCTGTACTGGGCTCCCCTCGGGGAGCCTGCTTCTCTCTCTGCCTGTGTCCTGCCTCTCTCTCTGTGTCTCTCATGAATGAATAAATAAAGTCTTAAAAAAAAAAAAGAAAGAAAGAAGGAAAGAAAGAAAGAAACAAACCCCTCGGGTGTGTAGGATCTTTGCCCTGAGATGTTGGCTGTCCCCATGCTGACCACCAGGCCCTAATCTCCTTGCCATGCTTCCTCCACTGCCCACAGCTTTGCTCCCTTCATCCCTGGTTGGGATACAGGGATGCCTCTAGGCCCAGCACCATCCTGTCACTTGAGCAGCTTGTTGAGGATTAGGGAAGTCCCTTGGCTTCCCCCCAGGGACATCCGCTCTCCTCCTCTATCTAGCGGACACCACCTAGCCAGCCCTCTGGTCAGCACCATGGTCCCACCTTTCCTCGATGCCAAGAAGAGCCAGGGGCTCTGGGGAGAATGTGAGAACCCCAGCTTACCTGTGAAAAGGAGGATGACGGAGAAGGCCACGATCTCCACAGGCTCTGCCTGGGGTAGTTTCTGTAGCTTGAGCAGCAGCTTCTCACCCATGGAGCGCATCTCCTGCACAAAGTTGGCAGCTGCCATGGTGCATCAGACTCCTGCCAGGCTCCTGCTGGGCGTGTCAGGCAGAGACAGGGCCGGGAGTCGCCACCCACCTGCAGCCCGCAGAACGAGTTCGTCAGGTCTCACCCCTGTACCCCTGGTGGCTCATGATGGGGGAGGGAGCCATTGGGGCCCTCCACCCAGCAGTGGCCCTCAGCCCCCACCCAGCCAACACCACCCGTGGTGACGGAATCTGATGACCGCAGGGAGCCTGAGGCCCTGCCGTGGGGGTACCCAGCGCAGCCAGACACAGGGGAGATCTGCCAGCTGGCCACAGTTGGCCAAGTTTCCTGACTTTGAGGTGGGGTGACTTCACTGTTACATTCCTTTGTCTCAGGCACCACTCCTGGTTTTGCTGGGGTGCCTCGGGCTCCCCTAGTGACCTCTGGGTCCTTCAGGACTTAGGTGCCTCCCCTGGGTTCCCGGTGGGGAAACTGGGCTTTAAGATTCCAGCCTGGTACTCTTGCCCCTCATCATATATGGGCCAGAAGGATCAGGTTCTTCCTTAAGCAGGCATCTGGGGGCTTCTAGCTGGGGTCATCTGGAGGTGAGAGCTAATGTGAAGGTAGTCTGAGCCCCGTCAGGGCCCCCACTTCTCTAACCAGTCCAATTTCTTTACTCATATGGTGTTCTTTGAGGAGGAAGAGGTGACACTGTGTCCCTGCAGTTTCTCCCATGGGGATCCTCTCAGGATGGGATTAGGTGTCCCACGGCTGGTTTACCAGCCTCTCTGCTGGCTCAAACCGAGAGTCCCCTCTGCCCCTACCCCTGTCCCAGGTATATAGCAACTCAGCCCTCCAGGCCCCGTGACTGAGAGCCTCTTCTGGTCTAAGAGTGCCCGACGGGCTAAAGGTGAAGATCCAGGCTGCGTCTATGAGTTGGGGCATGCTCTACGTCCCTTTCTTTCCCCTTTGGCCTCAGCTGTGGGCACAGGGAACCAGTGCCTCTTCAGAGATGGACCTGGGACAGCCGTGTGCCAACCCAGCCTGACTTGTTCACCAAGACAGCTCTAATCCAAGGGAGGGTAACAGGTGGCCAAGGGCTGGTGCCAGACCTTAGGATCTAATTACTGCCGCCTCGTCCTGGGTCTCAGCCAGGCGGATTCTCCCGAGATGGCTGTAGTCTTGGAAGCTGGTCACTGCTTCCACCACTGGTACTACCACCACAGTAGAGCTGTCTCCAAACTGCCTTGAAGGCTGTCTGCTTGAAGCCTCTACTTTGTATCTGGGTCTCTGCATTCCTTCTGGCGTGCAGCCTTGGCTTGAGCCCCTCTGGGTGAGGTAGGGAGTCCCAGCTGCTTTGGCGGCCTGCCTTCTTCCTTCTTGGAGCTCATCATTGGAAATTGGGACTTCCTCCTGACCTCGTTGGTCCCACCTAGGGTCACATAGGACACTTCTACTCCTCTTCGGCCTCATGGTCCTTCAGGACCTAGACGGCAACTGGCACATGCCCCCTGTGTCTCCTCTTCCACAAGGTAACTGTTCTCGTTTGGTCAGCTGCCCTCTAAAGAACATTCATTTGATGCTGCCTGCCCCTTTTGCAGTTTTGTGACATGGACGTGTCACTCTGAGTCTCTTTTCCTCATTTTACGTGAGAGGAGATGCCCATCCTTTGAGGCCATTGGGAGGATTGACACTTGGAAGCACAGTGGCAGCCAGCACAGATCCTGGCACACATTGGTGCCCAGCACATGTGATTCCCCTCTGCCTGGGGTCTGGCCATTGTAGGAGCATCAAGAAAGCCTTTGAGGGCAGTCGTACCCCCTTGTACACTGTCAGAGATCCTCCTTAGACACCGTTGGGGAGTTTCATCTGTGTCCTTCGATCCCTGGATGTTTGTGGTGTGTGAGGTGAAGGCAGGTGGTGGGGCAGGCTGGAGATGGAGGTGTGTTTTAAGTGATATTGAGGGTAGTAGGCAGATGGTGGGTCCATCAGGATTAGAAGGTTTCCTGTCAGAAGTGGGAGGCTCCTGGAGTTAGATCCTCCTGTCTTCTCTCACGCCCCACCCCAGGGTTAGCATGTTTCTGCAAAGGAGATCAAGATCCCAGTTTCCAAGTATACTAAGAGGCACGAGAGATCCTAGAATGCCACGAGTCATCCATTCCTGTCTCCCTTTACATAAGGAAACAGAGCCGCGAGAGTGGTTCCTCTGGAGTCACACAGCAGGACAAGGGCCTGGCCAGGCTCCCCTGCTACCGCATGCTGTCTCTCCTGGAGGCCTGTCTTAGGCAGCCTGCTCTCTGGCTGGCAAGGTAAGTCAGCCCACAGAGCAGCCTACTGAGGGCATTGTCCATACATTGGGCCCAGTGCAGGGACCAGGGTTCCAGAGCCTTTTGGAAGCTGTTGTACTCTGCACGATCAGCCCCATTCCACATTCATGAGTCTGGAAAAGAACACTGCTTTTATTCAGGCACATCCCCGCCCGCCCCGCCCCCCCCCAGGCCAGGGCCATACCTGTTCTTTGAGAACCACATGTGACTTGTCACTGAGGGAACAGATCTTGCATGTCTGTCTCAGGTTCACCAAGAGGCCCTCTCATTCTGGGGCCTCTCTGGGCATCCCCAATCCCCATGTTTCCAGTAGTACAGTAGCCTGCCTGCTGGTCTCATTCCTAAGGAGGGAACAGAGGTGCCAGCCAAAGCCCCAGCAGAGAGTTTGCACAGAGCTCAGGAGTTGGGCACCTTTTCTCTCTGCCCCCTTCATCTACGTTTGTCTGGCTTCTTCAGCCTGGTTGGCTCTGTGCCTGCATTGCCTAATGTAGCCATCAGAGACTCCTTGAAAGAGGAAGCAGGTGGAGGCCAGCTGGGCAAAGGCAGTTTTTTCACTTGTTTCCATGTCCAAAGACCCAGGGAGGGATTGTGGAGGGGAGGCCTCTGCCTGTGAGCAAGACATGGTGTGGAGACCCGGTCAGCCTGAGGCGTGTGATCTCCAGAGTGGAGGACACAGGTTGGGCCAAGGCTGCTCTGTTGTGCCAGAAAGGTGGGCTTTGTTGGTCAGAAGCTTTGGCTCTGAAGTGGGCCATCCTCTGGGCATTGTGAAATCAAGATGCTGCAGAGTCGCACCCAGATGACCTGGGCCCCACTCTGAGAGGAATGCCAGTTCACACCAGTGGCAGGCCATGGGGCCATGGATGGCATTGTGCCTTTGAGCCCAGGGCCTCTCTGGTGACCTGAATTAACAAGGTGCCCCAGCCCTGGGGTCTCACCCAGGGCTGCTCACTGATTTTGTCTGTGCTGTGAACTACAGTGGGGCCATTGGACAACCAGGGTTCTGCCCCGAAGCCTGAAGGGGAGCTCCCTTTTTTTTTTCAGTTGACATTTTGCCATTTCCAGCTTGGGCCTGAACAGAATAAACCTTAGTGGGGACTGTGGGAGCTGGAGGGGCCTTGTTCTCCTAAGAGGGAGGAGGCACATTCCAGCAGGTCCCAGGCACTCTTCCCAGTGGGCTATTTAAAGCGAGGCCTTCGGGGGGTGCCTGACGCCTGGTGCCCAATATAACCAGCAGTCGTCAGGTGACCGTGCAGTATGTTCCTCAGCCGTTGCTCTGTAGGGAATCCCAATCTGTCAGTGTTCCCAGCTGTAGCCCAGGGAAAGTGGGTGCTCTGAGGCTGGCTGCTGCTCGTCCTTTTTACTTTTCCAGGGTTGGAAGGAGGAAGACAGGGAAGCCCAGAGCAGGTACTAATGATCGCATATATCTTTCTGGTCTATCTCAAGGAGATAGGAGGGTCATCCATTCTCCTTCCAAAACTGTACTTCCTGCCTGTGAACCAGGGAAATCAGAGTCCCTCCCAGCCCTGTGCTCCAGAGTGCATCGGTTGGAGGCAGCCAAAGCAAGTTGCTTCCCACAGCCCAGGAAGGCAGAGCAGTCTTGACTGTCCGCCTGGCCTTTCTTGGAGCCTTTGGACGGTACACGGTGGCTGAAATGGCAGCCAGTGCAGAGGGAAAGTGAGCTGGGCAGAGATGAAGGCTGGTGGAGCTGCGGGGACCAGAAAACATTCCTTTGTGTGGCATCTCCTGGCACAGAGAACCCTGTGACAGAGCATGCGGGCATCCTGCAGGCTAGACAGCTGCTGCTTGGTACTGAAGCTACCCTGTTTCCTCCTTGCAACACTGATACTCCAACTCCAGAGGCCCTATGTGGAAGAGACCAGGCAGCAGGCGGGCCTGCCTATGACTGATAAGTGCCGTGCTGATGGCTCGGGGCCCCAAGGGCTTCTTGCTCTGCCTCTCATTTTGTCATGGTGGGTTGCAGCCACTCTTGCCCCATAGGGCATCGTCTTGTTTAAGAAACAGCTCTAATAAGGCAAACTTACGGTCGTGGCAGGTTTACAGGGTCTGGAGGCCTGACCGGTAAGGCAGAGATTTCCACTGAGTGCTGCATCAGGCCTTCAGACTTTGCCCTTTGCTACTTGGCTCTAAGTTGCTGTGGGAAGTAGATGCTTGAACCCAGAGCTATCGTGCTTCCCTAGCCCCGTGACTTTGCAGGACTGGAGAGGGCACTTCTTACTGCTAGTGATGGTTCCCATTCTATTCCAGCTCTGTGCCTGTCCTGGCTCAGCATCTGTGCTCACTGGGACCCCATCCTCCTATGTCCCGTGGTGCAATCACTCTGTTGTCGCCGTCCTAGTGTCCCCCATCACCCCTGCCTAGGCTGTGTTACAGATCAGAGCCAGCAGGGGTAGCCCTGGGCTCGCCATTGTGCCCTTCCCTGCCTTCACCCAGCCCTCCCCCTGCTTCCCAACACACACCACTGCCTGTCCCCTCTCTGCCATGCATGGCCCATCCCTGTGGGGCTTTTAGTCTCTCCAGCCACCAACCCAGGCCAAACCCCACCGCCTCTGCTGAGCCAGGAACACTTGGACTGATCCTTGGTTTCCACTTTTCCTTGGATTGTTGTTTTTCTTTTTAAGTAGATACCAGCCTGTTTGCTTTGGGGGAAACCTCTGGGGGACAGGGGAGGAAGATTTTAACCCTAGTGTGGGGATGGGGAGGCATAGACAGCTTCGGTTCATGGGGGCCTGCCCAAGGGGGCTGCTCCCAGTGCTGCCTGAAGAGACATCTTGGGCTCAGCATTCCAGGGGCAGCAGAGGGCCAAATACCAGCCTCAGCTTCACCATCATTGCCTTCTCCCCACCCCACCCTGGGTTCAGAGTCAGGCACTCATGCTTCTGGCGCAACATTTGGGGTGGATAGGGAGTGCACAGGATTCCAAATGGGCCCAGGGAGGAGCACCTGGGCTTAGCTCTGACCTGAGGATACCTGGCAGTGAGTGGGCCAAGCCCCTCACCAGAAGCTGCAGCTGCCGCGCTGATGAAGGACACCGATGGGCAGAGCTGCCACGGGTCCTGCCACGTTCCTGGTGGGCATGAACTGGCAGGGCAGACCCTGCCCTCAAATGCCTCTACAGGGAGAAAGCAGGCACACAGAGGGCTCTGCATTGATCCCAGGAAAAAGGGAGGCTCAGCGGGCAGGCAAATGCTCTCTCCCAAGCCAGGACAGCCAAATCCCTTGTTTAAGCTTCCTGAATAGAAAAAGCTTAAACTAACTTGCAGAGTAAGCAGGCACTTGGGGCCCCTCTGCCCGCTCAGCAAGCCGAAAGCACTCTGAGCACAGAGCTGCAGCCCCAGCCGGTGTCCCCCAGGGCTGGGTCCCAGTAAGAGAAGGGAGAGCCCCGGGTTAAACGAGGCTGTCTGGAGACTGTGCCCAAGTGCAGCCCCGGGAACCTCTGTGTTGGAGGTAGTTGGTGGCTCTCCACCCTTGAGGCAGGGGACCCTGGCTGCCTCCCCCTAACCCCGTCCTATCCCCTGTGGCCGGCACCACTCACCTAGGAACTCAGGTGTTGGGCTGGGGGACAAGCGCGGATGCTGGGGAGCCCAGCAGCCTCCCGTGCCTCTCCTCGGCCAGGGCACCACCTCTTCCTTCCTTCTCAGATGCCTCTTTCCTGACCCGCTTCTGGGCGCCTTCCTCAGAGCGTGTGGAGCTCCTGGCTGCTGACAGCCAGCTGCCGTCTTGGCCTCAGCTTTTTTGTTGTTGGTCGTCCTGGAGATCCAAGTGTCAAATTACACGGGGGCCGGCCACTGAAGCTGGGGAGCCTGTGCCACCGCTGCCCCTGCCCGGCAAGGGAATCCCTGCAGGGACCTTGGCGGGTGGCTTCAGACTCCTGGGAGTCTGCCCCTGGGAGGTCTCTTCTGTTCCTCCTCTTCCTCTCCTCTCCCTCCTGGCGGGTGTGTGCTAAGCCTTCGTGGGCTGGGCCTGGGCTGGGAGCTGATAAAAGAGGAGGTCGGCTCTCTTGTTCCCTGGCAAAGATGCCCTCTGGGAGGCTCCACCTGAGCAGTAGAGCGGGGAGGGAGAGAGGCCAAGCAGCACTCCCAGCTCTTTGGCTCCCGCCCTACCCTCAGGAAGGCTTTGGGCCCATCCCCCCTGACCTAGCGAACCTGCCTCTCTGGAGACTCCCTGGATGGTCCCGCCCTTTGGTCCCTCCTAGGAAAGAAAGTGACTGGTGGGGGAGCTGCCAGACCACCCACAAGGCCAGCCCCCTAGGGAGGCATGCTGGGGGTGACTTGAGAGTACCCTGCACTTGGCTTGCTTGCCTGAGTGCCTGGTGTTCCTCAGCCCCAGGAGGAGGGGGGACACTACTGATCTCATTCTTCCCAAAGGGTGTTTGCTGGGGCCCGCTCTGCACGCCTGACCCTGGCCATCAGGGACGGGCTCCAGAGCTCAGTGGCTGGCAGGGCCCTTTGACATTTGGTTGGTCGTGCCACCCCAGCAGACCAGGCTGTGCCCGGAGCAGGACAGGAGCCGTCCCTAGCCCGCATCTGTGAGCTCTCAATGGAGCCCTTTGAGTGTGAGCACAAAACCCCAGTGAGTCCGGGCTTGAGGGAGGGTGGGGGGAAGGAAGCCAGCCGTGTAGCCACACCACTTGGATGCCAGAGCCTCCCAGAGGCTGGACAGGCTGCCGCTCTGTGGACTCAGACTGGCAACGGAAGCAGCCACACGTTCATTTTCCGAGTGGTGGGAGCACTGCCCTCTGCTGGCCGCCTGGGCCCCCTTGCCACCTCCTGCCCCTCAGAGCTGCATTCTCTAAACGAGGCACCCAGACCTCACAAGCCCTCAGGGTCTCAGCTCCTCAAAGAGTTTCTTGCAGTTCCAGGCGGTATTCTGGTTAGAGAGTGACGCCACCTATTCTTGTCCTTGGGACATGGCACCTGGACAGCCCTGCCTCTGCTGCCCAATCTCTTGGGCTCCCCTATCCCGTGCTGCATTTCCATAGCGAGACTGGCCCTCTGCAAGGACCCTGATCTGTGGCCCCTCCAGGGGCCTCTGCAGCTGCCCCGAGCACCAACTGTGTCCCCATCCTGAGAGTTCTAGGAGAGACAGCTGGAGTCTGGCACAGCAAGGGGCTGTGGCAGGGCTGAGGCACTGGGAGATGTGATGAGACTTCTGTCAGGGCTGATCTCCTCACTGCCCTCACCAGGGACCAGCATACGATGCCAGTCCTCAGAGCTGCTGGTTTCTGCTCTTGGGCGGTCCCCCAGCCCCGGGGTTTTGTGTGTGCAGGCGGTCTTGGGGACAGAGAAGGTCACCAAGAGGTAGAAGCGGGACAGGGTTCCAAGTCTGGGGTAGGGCCACCTTGTGCTGGTTCTTCCCTCCTCCGCCTCCGGGAAAGGGTGAAGAGTAATCATGAGAGCTCACTGTGTGCCAGACGCTGTGCGCGGTGCCTCAGAGCGCCGTCTCCCCCAGCCCTGCACGGCCAGAGGAGCCAGTGCTCTTCTCGCATCGTTTCACAGGCAAGAATGTATAGGCTTTGAGCCATCAAATGCTTTCCCCAAGGATGCAGCCTCAGCAGCAGAGTCAGCATCTGTCCCCAGAGCTGAAGCTATTCCCAGGACACCCCACTGTAGAGGACAGAGTAGAGAGCAGGAGGCCAGGACCTAGAACAGCAACCTGTAGCGAAGCAGCACAGAATGGGGCTCATAGCCTGGCTCCTCTGGTTGTGGTGTATGACCTTGGGAAAGCTCCTTCACCTCACTGTTGTCGTCTGTAAAATGGGTGACCACATGATGCCTTGATAGGCTCATACAGCATGAGGTGTGTGATACTGAGTGTGGTGCCCACATGTAATGCTCCTCAGCCAGAGTTTAGGGAGTGGGCAAATGAACACTAGCCTGCCCAGCTTCCTCACCCTTTGCCTCTGCTGTGCTGCCTCCGCCAGGTGCCGCCATGCTGCCATTGCCAAGTACTTTGGGGATGCGCCCCCTGCCTGCACCAAGGGCTGTGACCACTGCCGGGACCCTGCAGCCCTGCGGAAGCAACTGGATGCCTTGGAGCGCAGCAGCAGCTGGAATAAGACTTGCATCGGGCCTTCCCAGGGGAAAGGCTTTGACCCTGAGCTGTATGAGGGAGGCCGTCGGGGCTATGGGGGCTTCAGCAGGTGAGGGACTGTGAAGTCAGGGGTCCCCAAGCCACTGCAGATAGGCTGGTATTCTCCTCCTGGTGCCAGGGCCAGACCAGTGGCGCCCCAGGGTCATCGTTCACTCCCTGTCCCCGTGGGCTATGTCAGAGCCAGCCAGGACCTTGGTGTTGCTCCTAGCTGCCAGCCTATTGGAAACATCAGTACCCCACCAGAGAAGCATGACAGGAGGGCAGAGCCCAGGCCCGGGGCTGCTTACACCTCACCTGTCCCCTAGGTATGATGAAGGTTCTGGAGGCAGTGGGGACGAGGGCAGAGACAAGGCCCACAAGCAGGAATGGAATCTCTTCTACCAGAAACAGATGAGCCTACGCAAGGTGAAGGGGGTTGGGGGCCTGATGGGGTCCCAAGTGGCACTCCATTCACACTCCCTCAGCCCCTGCCCTGGCACTGGACTGGGGGCTGTTCTACAGCCAAGCAAGGTGCTTCATAGGCCCTTCATGTCATCCTCCAGGGCAAAGACCCCAAGATAGAAGAATTTGTACCCCCAGGTCAGTACAGAAATATCCCCAGGGGCTTTGGGGGGAGGGCTGGGGACTCCAGAAAGCAGAAGGTAGAGTGAAAGGACCTATCCCTCTTCCCCCCAGATGAGGACTGTCCCCTGAAAGAGGCTTCTAGCAGGAAGATCCCCAGACTCACTGTGAAGGTAAGCAGTGGGCAGCTACCCACACCTGCCCCCCTGACTCCTTCCCCAACCCTGAGGCCTAAGTGACCAACTTCCCTCTCCTGTGTAGGCCCGTGAGCACTGCCTGGGGCTTCTGGAGGAGGCTCTGAGCAGTAACTGCCAGGCCACAAGTACCACCCATGGGTGAGTGTCCCAGGTCACAGGGGCCAAAGAGGCTTCCCCAAGCCCCTATTCCTTGTAGACCACAAGAACGAACCCCATCCCTCCTGGCTTATTTGGTCACCCTCTCCTCAGATCATGTCTCATCCCTCCCAGTGGCTGCAGGTCTCACAGCCCCACCGGGGGCAGGCTCTCCCAGGACTGAGGGGCTGCCAGTGCCTGCTGGACAGAAAGCCACAGGGTGCCTGGAGTCCTAGTCAGAATCCCTATGCCCAAGGCCATTCCCACCAGGCCCTGAAGCCATCTCCAGGGTCCCCAGGGAGAATCCCATAGGAGCTCAACAGAAAGGGCTCAGGCCCGCCTGATGCCTTGTGTTCATTCCCTCAGCCCTGATCTCCAGGCCAAGGCTGTGGAGCTGGAACATGAGATGTTCCGAAATGCCAAGATGGCCAACCTGTACAAGGCCAGCGTGCTGAAGAAGGTGGGCCCCGGGCAGGGTGTACTTTTGGGCTGGGATGGAAGAGCCAGCCCCCATACCCTCCCGGGCTGTGTGGTTGCCCTGCTGGGAGGCCACTCACACAGAGGGGGCCTGACCGCCCTTCTTTGCTGGCTGGAGATGTTTCTAGCCAACTGTGTCAGGACTAGAACTTGTCCAGTGTCCACTTACTTGTAGCCATGAGTCCCAGAAGCCCACTTGTGGAAAGCCTGTGTTGGGGCTCTCAGGAGCTCGTGGAGGTTATGGCATCTCTGCCTTTCCCTGACTCAGGTGGCTGAGATCCACAGAGCCTCCAAGGATGGGCAGCTCTACGATGTGGAAAGCAATACCAGGAGTTGCAGTATGCATGCCCAGCCCCCAGAGCCCACTGAGTATGACATCCGGCCAGCCTCCCAGGTGTACTCTGTGAGCAGCATCCTGACATCCCCCCAAAACCTGGCTCTGGGACAGGCATTGCTTCCTTTGTCCTCACCCAGGGTGTAAGCACTTGCCCTCTCCTGGTGGTCCTGGCCCTGAGTGCCCTGCAGCAGGCCCTCCAGCTTTCCTGCCCGCGTCCCCCCCACCTCTGCAGCCCCCACGGCTCTTCTCTCCTCAATCTGACCCCCAGCAGTGTCCTGCCCAGTGTCTCCCTTCTCCACTCCCCAGAGCCCACCAACTCAGCCATTCATGGATCACAGAGAGTGCCTTTGAGGGGGGTTGGGAGTCAGAACCTTCTCTTCTCTTCACAGCTCAAACCTAAGCGGGTGGGAGCTGGTTTCCCCAGGGGCTCCTGCCCATTTCAGACAGCCACTGAACTGATGGAGAAGACTCAGGCCGAGGATCGAGCCCCCCAGCCTGTGCAGGGAGGTGAGCGAGAGCCCCCCAGCCAGCCTTGTGGCCTCCAGGATGAGGACTGCAGCAAGGCCCTCCCTGGGCCCAGAGCAGAGGCTCCTGGAAGCAGTGTTCATTGTGGAGGATCCTCCCCTGAGAGGACGGGGAAAAGCCCCTCCAAGGGTGGTCCCCTTGCCAAGGCCCGGACCAGTAAGAAGCAGCAGCTCCTAGTCGCAGCGGCCCTCAAGGATTCTCAGAACATCACCCGCTTCTGCCTAAGGGCCAAGAGCCCGTCCCCCCTCACCTCAGCCCCAGGGGCGGAAGATGCCGGCCCTGGCCCTTCGTGTGAGGGAATGCGGGGACCCCCAGCAGCCCCAGAAAAGTGCGCAGGGGAGGAGGATGGAGCCCTGGGGTGTTTGGCTGCGCACCCCCAGACCAAGGAGTGTACCAGGGAGAGGCCAAGGTAAGGGCCCTGCTAGTTCTGAAATTCTCTGGAATCCTCTTTGCTAACTGGGCCTCTGAAGCTCTGTCCCTTCCTGGGCTGCGTTGTGCTGGGTGGGCAGAGCTGAGGGTGTGGCCAGTGGCTGGAGCTCTCACACTTACTCTCCCCTCTGGCCAGAGCCTGCACACTTGGAGACCAGGGGTCCCCTGAAGGCCAGCCCATCCCCACAGAGGAGACCCCCAGGGGCAAGCGGCCCAGACCCCAGCAGGTACTGACAGGGACAAGGCCACAGGGGAGGAGGCCTGCAGACCAGGCTGCTATCTATTCTTCTCTGGACTAGGGGTTTGGGGGAAGATCATCTCTTTTTATATCCCAGGGATAGATGGCACAGGTTGGAGGTAGCCAGCGGATGCTGAGGCCCAGCCTTCTAGAATGACAGGTGGGGCCACTGACAGGGAGTCCAGGAGTGACTCTCCACTCCCGTCCGACACAGGAGAACCTAGAGAACCAGACTCAGAAGAGGACTCGTCTCTCAGCCAATGCCTCCGTCTTAGCTGAGGCCAAGGACGGCGTCCCGGCCTGGAATCAGGACACCTTGAACCCCACGGCCCAAGGCTCCTGCCTTCTCCCAGCCCCTGGCATCTCTCTTAAGGAGGCTGCAAACGTTGTGGTCAAATGCCTGACCCCTTTCTACAAGGAGGGCAAGTTTGCATCCAAGGTAGGGTAGGTGGGTGGGTTCTGCTCTGGCCTGGGCCCTTGGGTGCAGTGGTGTCGGGGTGGAGCCGAGGGCGAGGCAGGGCAGAAGCAGACTAACCTTGCCTTGGTTCATGGCCGAGGGCCATTGGCAGGGGGCAGCGCAGGGGTCCATGCCCTTGGCTCCTGTCACCTTCTGCCTCCAGGAATTGTTTAAAGCCTTCGCCCGCCACCTCTCACACTCGCTGACTCAGAAGGCCTCTCCTGGAAGGAGTGGTGAGTGCCCACCTCACCAGGCCAGGGGGTGCTCTCGGGGCTTGGTGGTGGGGAGGGTACTGGCCCTCATTTCTGCCTTCCTGAGTCTGTAGTGAAGGAAGAAGCCCAGACTTTCATCAAGCAGTTTTTTCACGGTCGGGCCCGGTGCGAGAGTGAAGCTGACTGGCATGGCCTGTGTGACCCACAGAGATGACCAGCTCTGCCCACCAGGGCCAGAGTGCTCCCCGAGCCTCAGCTGTAGGAAAGCCTGCAGCTGTTGGGGCGTCATTTTCTTCAGGATCCATACCTTGCTTTGGAGACGGCGCTAGACTCTTTCCAAATCGAGGCGAGAGGCCAGCCACTCTGCCTGCAAGGTCTCGGGTCATCTTCTCCTTACTTCCCTAACTCTCTGGGCTGGGTTTTCTGAACCAGATCACCAGATTAGAAGGGGGTGGGGTGGGGTGGCTGCTGCCAGGGGAACAGGAGGAAGGAGTGGTCTGTGTACCGCTTTTACTTAACAAATTGTAGACCAGACCCCTGTCCAAGGTTTTGGGCTGTCTCAGGAAGAGCCCTGCTGGCCTCAGGTCCTTGACCCACTACCCCTTTCCCTAGTGATGCCAGCTTCCAGCCTGGCCCCAGGTGCAGAGTTCGGGAGGAGGGCAGCAGCCAGGCCTTGCTCTCTGCTCAGTTCCTGGGTCAGGAAGGCCGAGCCGGATGGAGATTTAGCAGAGAAATAAAATCCTGTTGGTTTTGACACACACACCACCTCCCAAAACACAGCCTTTTTCTCTTAGGAGTTTTATTTCTGCAAAGTTTGCTCCTCTGAGGCCTGGATTCATGCTTACATTGAGCATGGGGCCAGGTGGGCATCCCTCCAGCCTGGGCAGCACTGGATGCCCAAGTGAGTTCCCTGCAGTGCCCACCTGGGCCCCCCCCCCCAGGGGGGATCCTGCTGCTCTTTCTCAGTAGACGTCATTGTAGCAGCTCCTGCCTTGTGGCCTCCACATGGGCCAGAAGCTGTGGCAGGTTCCAGAACAGCCAAGTGGGGAAGTCCAAACCAACGGCTTGACAGCACCCAAGAGAGACCTTCCCAGTCAGACTTGGACCTGGGAGGGGCCCCTTCCTTGTTTCACCCCTTCCCCCACTCCTCTCGGCCTCTACTTGGAAGGAAGGCCTCTGTCCGTCAGGAAGACGATGGTGTGCATCAGTTCCTGGGCCTGCCCGGGGAACAGGCACACGTGTGAGGACAGGGCTTCCCGGTGTGCCCCCACCTCTGCCCTGGCCCACACCACACCCGAGCCACAGGCCTGGGCCCAGGCTCCGGGAACACCTGGGTCAGGCACGCCTGCCTCGCCAGGGTGTTATCAGAGGCCCTGGCCACTCACCTTCAGCAGCTCAAACCAGATGGTCTGGGGGTTGTCGGCAGAGCCATAGTTGAGTTCCAGGCCAGGGGGCCCCTCACTCTCCAGGGGGCTTAGCAGGTGGAGCCGGTGCAGGTCCTTCAGGGTGATGGAGCAGCACTGTTTCTGGGGCCGTGGAGACAGCAGAGCTTGGTCTCTCTCCTCTCACCCATGGTGACCCCTCCCCTGAATATAGCGCAGGGGTGCTCCGGCCAGCACTGGGGCAGGAGCCTGGCCCACCTGGCTGCAGGGGTCCATGACGATGAGATGCTGGTGGTTCAGTCCCAGGAGGCTGGGTCCAGGCAGGGCCATTTGACTCACCCGCAGCACCACATAGACAGTGTAGCCAAAGAGGGGCAGCTGACTCACAGCCTCTGGGAAGGGAGGGGCCAGGATAGGCGTTCCGGCCATCCGGGCCTTGGGACCTGCTCAACTTGGCCCCCACGGTGGATGTGAGGGGCAGGGCAGGTAGAGAAGCTTCCTCAGCCCCTCCGCCTTCACCCGTGCCCTCCTGGGCCTCCTGCCTCAGCCCCTGTAACTCCCAGGCCCAGACCCACCAATGAAGCTGATCTGTGCCTCCTGGGAGTTGTAGACTTGCAGCTGCCTCAGCTCCTGGTCTATCAGTTTCTTTATGATAGGTATGTTCACGTGCCCTCGCAGCGGCTTTGGCAAGTAATTCAGCATGTCTTGCCTAGGACAGACTGGTCAGTCAAGGCTGGGTGTACAGCAGGTGCTAAATAAATGAGCAGGGGCTACTGGGGGTGAGACTGGGATCCAGATTTGCGAGTGAGGTGTGGGCCCTGCCCATGAGGAGCATGGGGTGGGGAGGTCAGCCTCCTCTGCTCCAGGACTATCAGGTTAAGGCTGTGGAAGGTATAAGTTGAGTGGCGTTGACCTTGGGGGACTGGGTCGGGGGTGGGGGTGCTGAAGGAGAGGCCCTTGGGGTATGTGCTGAGGTAGACCTCTGCACCCCCAGGGACAGAGGGTGGATGGAGGTGGGGAGCCATGCTCACTCACTCCGAGTAGTCCTCTTGGTCCTGGCTGCAGTGCTGCAGGGCAGCCAGCCTGGCGAGTTGGGTGTCTGCCTGGGGGTTGACCAACAGCTTCCCCTGTAGGTAATCCCGCAGCACCTGAGAGGGGGCAGCAGTGAGCAGAGGGCCCCCCCCGCTGTGCCCAAAGCTCCCACGTGGTGGTGGCTCCTGGGGCCCAAGTCTGGTCCTGTCACCATCTCTCCTTGCGAGGGGGGAGGCTTGGAGGTCCCCCACCCAGGCAGGGGCTCGTTTGCAAGCTGCAGCCCTGGGTCAAGCGACCTGTAGGCTGCGTGCAGCCCGGGGTGGGGGTGGCAGCTGACCTGCTTGTAGTGGGTGGTGATGTAGGTGGGATTGTCGAAATGCAGTGGGGTCTCCCAGATGAGCCGCCGGCTGTGCAGGCTTGTGTCCTGCTCCACCACGCTGTTGAGGTACTCGTGGGGCAGCAGGGGCCGCACCAGCTCGCCTGTGTGGGGAGCCCAGGTCCACAGCCCACCCTGACCTCCAGGGCCAGCCCTGCCCGCCCCAGCACAGGAATTTGCCTCATTCATGACCACGCAACCAGCAGATGAGCCACCTCTTGGAATCCAGCCTGGCCCCACTCCCTCCCCAGGCAAGAGACTCACCTTCCTTTTTGATGAGGAATAGGGCAAATTCTTGCATTTCCTGAGGGTCTGTGATGCCCATTTGCCGACACAGGTCTTCCAGCACTTCTGCCGCCACCTGGGCATATAGGTGGGGGCTGTGATGGGTGGGGGGACGGGAGGCTGGGTGGGTCCCCAGAACTGGTGCCGCAGCTTTCCTGTGCCTCACTGACCCCATGCTCACCGTGAAAGTCTGGATAGTAGTTCTGTAGTCCACACCCCCTGGCAGGTGAATTAGAAGGGAGCGCATTCCTTGCCCTTTCTGTGTGGAAGCAGGTTAGGGGTCAGTCCATCAGTGGCCAGAGGCCCCAACTCCCTGACCCCACCCAGGAGTCCTATCATGCCCAGCCTTGTGTACCCCCCGCCACCCCTGCCCCCAGTACCAGGAAGGCCTGAATTTCGCCCGGGGAGGGCAGCCGCTGGCGCCCCCCATACTTGACTGTGCGCTGCAGGTGCTCCTGGCTGTTCCGGGCCAGCTCTGCAGAGGGGAAGCAGGCTGGGGTGGGCCTCTCCACACCCCTCCCCAAGCTGCTGAACCCCAACCTGGAAGTCCCTCCCATAAGGCACCTTGGCTTGAGCCCGAATTTTGCAGAAACTTGGTCACATAGGGCATCAGCGTGGCTGACGGGGAGAAGCAGCCCGTGAGGAGGCTGAGGAGGTTCCAGCCACGGGTACAGTGTTCCCTACAGGGTGGAAAGCTGGGCTTCAGGCTGGGCAGACCACGCCGTGGCCCCAGGCTGCCCTCCACCATTCACCCTGGCCCCGCATACTCACGGCTGAGGGTGACAGGTGACTTGCTTGATGACTTGGCAGTAAATCTCATCCCTGAGGTTCTCCTCCCGGCATAGCTGTGGGGACAGAAGAGCAGGGGACAGGGTGGCACGGGAGCTGAAGTCAAGGAGAGATCCTGCTGCTGGCTTCGGATGGGGCCCATCTCTGGGTCTTTGACACCGCTTGTGCCCAACTGGCCACTCCCTATGTCACTATCTTCATCTGCTTATGGCCTACGCTCACACCTGCCTTCTCTGCTGGCTCCCTTTATCCCCTTGACCTCAGGGGGTGCAGCGCCCTTGGGATCCATGCCTCCACGCCCCGCCCCGGTGAGCTCAGCCGCTCCCACTTGCTGAGGACTACCAGTGCCAGCAGACTTCTCGCTTGAACCCAGGCACCCCCCTTGGAAGACCAGACTTCACATTTCATGATTCCAAAACAGATTCCTGCATCAACCCAGACCTGTTCCTCCCTTACACCTCCATATGGAAGACGATCATTGCTCTGGCCAAGGCCTCAGCGACATCCCTGGCTCCTCTCTGTCACACACCACATATAATTCACAGCTAATCCTGTTGCTCCGCGTCTTCCCTCTGCTGCTACCGCTGGGCCTGGCCAGCACCATCCCTCACCTGTGATCATTGCAATAACCTCCTCTGGCGCTTACATCCCAGGGAACGGGTGGCAAGCAGGCCCAGGCGGGAGGACAGGAACAGATCCTCAGGGCCCACGGTCTCCCTGTAGCTTTCAGCACACAAGCTCTTGCTTACCTTCAGCAGCTCATAAAGGAGCTCCAAGTCATTCTTGCCCCGGGGCTTAGGCTGGTCCCCCATAAATTGCATCAGAACTGCAGGCAGGATGAGAAGCATGGTGAGCTGGGTTGGGGGCCTGGCTGTGGCGCATGCCGTTGCTAGACAGGGCTTTCCCTGTCATCTCATGCCTGGCTTGCAAAAACGCATGTGAGGACATGGCTCAGAGAGGTTCCGGGGGTACCTGTGGCTGCATACAGCACATAGCCAGCTGGACGTAGCACTGCCTTCCTGCCCAGGCTCCACGCGACCCACCACCCTTGGGTGTGAGTAGAAGTAGGTGAGGGCTGTGGGGGTTTGGTAGCCACCAGTGAGCTTCCCTCAGTTGACAAACCCAAGGCAAGAAGGTGACCTGGTGCCTAGGTCCGAGGCAGCACAGACACGGGGATCCAGGATGCTGTGGTCACTCACCCCGGAAGCTTTCCACAGCCTGCTTGTTTGTGTCCTCATCACTGAGGCTGATGAGTGATTCTTGAATGGGAGCCTGTGGCCAAAGAGACTGGATTGTGGGTCCAGGGGCCCCCATGGACCCCCAGAGGGCAGGCTCGACCCTTCCTCACCTGTCCCCCTCACCTTGGTGTACTGTACCATGCTGGCCATGGCCATGTCCTTAGCAAGTCCATCTGTCTGGTGCAGCCTGAGGGAGGAGAAGGAAGGACAGCCCCGCTTGCTCGGCCCTCCAGCCCCCATCCCAGGTTGTGGGTTGTGCAGGGAGGGTGCAAGAGCACTGGCCCGGTGGCTGAGCTCAGGGAGACTGAGGACAGGCAGGCAGAAGGGTGGGTCCCGGGCACTCACAAGGCCTGGGGCTTCCGGAAGTGGCACAGGGCGAATTCCTGCATGGTGTAGCTGTGGAAGTCCGGGGACAGGGAGGCGTAGGCGATGGAGTCCTCACTGTGTGCCTGGCTCCGGGGGTGGACATGGCGCTGGGGGCACAGGAGACCTCATGCCACCCGAGTGCCCACTGGCCTGTCCAGGGGCACTGCCCAGCCCCCAGCCCAGCCCAAGAGGCGCAGCCGGGGCAGCAGCAGTGAGCACACCACCAGAAGCCAGGGAAGTCAAGAGGCGTTTATTGAGCATCTTCTAGGACAGCACCTCGCTCAGCGCTGCGAGCGAACACGGCGCGCGGGGCCAGCCCCTGCCCACAAGGAGCTCACACTCTTGCTGGGGAGACAAGGCAGGAAGTCGGGAGACGCAGGGGCAGCGTTAGGCCAAGCGCTCCCGCCCGGCAGCAGGTGGTCCTGGCCGCTCAGGGGCAATTGAGCCCTTTCTGTCCTCGACGCCTAGTCGGGCCGCGCTTCGGCCTCTCCCGTCTTCCTCACCTCCACGGCCCCGTCCCAGGGAGCCAGCCCCGGCTCCCTGGGCTGCAGCTGACTCTGGTGCCGGCCGCTCCTCTCAGGCGAGAAGGAAAAGTCTGGAGCCGCTGCTGGCTGAACTAGGTCGGCAGGGAAGAGCCCAGAGCGGCTGCCAGTGGAGCCAAACTGCCAGCCTGGAAGGCACCCAGGGACAGCGCCTCAGCCACCCGGCCCCTGCCCCTGGGCGGCTCCGCCGTGCGCTGCCCTCCCCGAGCGCGGCCCCGCCTGCCCGCAGCGATACCGGGCTCCAGGGTGGCCACTGGCAGCAGCTTGATGAGGTCCCCACGGTGGAAGCTCAGGAGGCTGTGGTCGTCGGTGATGTAGCTGCGTAGGGCGACGACATAGCCGGAGTCCTGCAGGCGGGACGGTGAGCAGGCAGGGAGCCAGGGAGCTCTGGTGGCCTCATGCCCCCCACACTCCAGAGTCCCCCAAGGCCTGAACCCCAGCCCCCCCACTGGCGGCTTGAGGGAGCTTGGCTGACAGCCCTGAATGCAGCCAGCCGGACGCAGCCCGGGCCAAGGCCCCCCGACCGGGCCCCAGGCCCCCCAGCCCAGCGCCCCCTGCCCGCCCGCACTTGCCTTCCTGAGCTCACGCAGGAACAGCTCAACCATGGCCTTGATGGCGCTCGCCCGCGCCGTGTGCAGCACCAGCTGCTCGCTCTTCAGCGACAGCTCCAGGGTGGAGCTGCCCCGGCACTCGATGCCCAGCAGCTCAGCATAGCTGTGCACAGGGGGCGGTATGAGCCCCGGCTCCCCCCCACCGCCCCCGGCCCTGCCCCGCCACCGCCCAGGTTCACCTGTATGAGCAGAGGGTCTTCAGCTGGTTGAGGTGGAAGCTGGGGACTTTGGTCACCTTGAGCAGTCTCAGCCCCCGGTGGGACACGCCCAGCAGCTGCACATCACTGCTGCTCTCACCCTGCCCGGAAGGTGGGGGGTCGCTGACAGGCTCCGGGTCCCCACCACCAACCAAGACACCCCGGGGCCGCCCAGGGTGAGCGCTGTTCTTCGTCCTTCCGGTGGGGCCCGCCCACCCCAGCCCCAGTTCTCATCTCTGCCTCAGGGGCCCATGTTGAGCGTGCTGGGATCCAGACTGGGGTGCTGACACTCCCACAGCCCTACGTCCAGGCTCACTGACCGAGACAGGGAAAATTCGGGAGAAGTAATTGGCCCAGTTGTCCCTAGCGGCCACCACGATGCGCTTCTTGACATTGTCCTCGGTGGTATCCAGCGAGTCCAGGCCCACCTCCAGGTCTTCTGTGGGCAGGAACAGCCCCGGACTGGCCTCAGGCTCCCTCACAGGGGGCACCCCAGAGTTTGCTCCCTCCAGACAGGCAGACCCAGTCCCAGCACTTCAGCTCCCTGATCCCGGGGTCCCTGGACCCTACCCAGCAGGTCTTTCATTTTGCTCCGCTCATCCTCGGTGATCCGGATGCAGGACTTGGCAAAGGTGTCCTTCAGGATCTGGGGGCAGAGCCAAGTGGTCACCACCAGATCCCTATGCCAGAGCTCACCATGGACGCAGCCACACCGGGAGGAAAAGCTGGAGAGCCCGGGGGCAAGGGTGGAGCAGGACGGATGTGGGGCCTCTGAGTCCAGGGCCACCCCGGCCCAGAGCTCCCACTCGCCTCCCTCAACCACGTGCACTAGTGGGCTGCTGTTCCTCGGTCAGCAGAGATAGAGTCCCTGAAGGAACCAGAGCCTGGGGGAGGAAGGGAGATGGCTACAAAATTTGGGGGAAGAGACAGGGTCCCAGGAGCATCCAGGGGCGGCATAGGGACAAGCATCAGGGAGCATCTGCTGTGTGCCAGGGCCTGTGTTGGGGACCGTATACACTTCGTTTTGAATCCTCATTGCCCGCCAGCAGTGGTCCTTCCTCTCGGGGATGCGGTGAGGGTTAAGGAAGGCAGGGCTTGAAACACAGCACCTGCCCTCTGAGCGCCAGCTGCCAGCCTGGCCCTCACACCGTAACCTGGCCCAGGTGCTGCTGCAGTCCCTCCGGCCCTGCGGCAGGTGGGCGGGGCTCTCACCTGCTCACAGAGGAGCCTGAGGCAGTAGGGGTGGCTGAAGTTCTCCCGGGGGTAGAACACCTGGAGGGGCGGGGGGGGGGGGGGGGGGAGAGCAGATGGGAATGGTGCCCTGCCCGCCTGCCACCCAGACCCAGGAGGAAAACCGGCCTGAGGAGGTGGGTGGTGGGGAGGTGCGGGGGTGCCACCCACAGCGTGCCGTGCACCCCCCAGCCCAGAGAGGCCCGGCTGCGGCCCTGCCCCCGTGCCCACCTCCTTGCGCAGGAACAGCTTCCAGGACGTGCTGACATAGGAGAAGCACACGCTGCCAGAGGGCGGGAGCAGCTGGGTGGACACTCCCTGGTCCTCCATGGGCCCCATCAAGCCTGGCAGACGGAGGGGCCGAAGGGTTTCAGGCGAGGAGCTGCCAGAGCCAGAAGGACAGGGACACGGGGACAGAAGACGCTCCCCTCCCTAGGGCCCAGCTCCACCTTTGCTGCCTCATTTGCCCACCTCCCATCTCCAGCCTCCATTTCCAGTTCTCAAACTCTCCCTGCCGTCCCTGACCACGTCAGCAGGGCCACTAGGTTCCCGATGGAGCCACCAGGTTGCGTTGAGGACAACACCCCGGGACAGTGCTCCGAAGCCACTCAGGCCCCAGAGGTGCCCGGGGCCCTGCCCTAGCCAAGAACGCGGAAGCTGGGGCTCATGGCTCCAAAGTCCGGAAGCCTGAGACCCGGGTGGCTGACCTCAGCCTTGAGGCCTGAGAGGCTGCTGGGACCCTGCCCCGCCCCGCTCAGCCCCCTCGGGAGAGGACAGGCGGGTCCTTACCACGGGGCCCAGGGGAAAGTGTGTCCGGGGCCTCAGGCGGCGGCAGCGGGGGCGCTGGTGGAGGCGGGGGTGCCTGGGCAGAGGGTGGGGTCTGGCCAAAGGGATCCAGCTTCTCCTTGATGGAAGTGGAAGGCCCCAGCTGTGGTGGGACCTTGGGCCGAGGAGCCACAGCTGGTGGGAGGCCCTTTCCTGGGCTGGGGGACGGCATCTGGGGAAGGTCAGAGAGAGTACACCGCTGGGTCTGGGGGTAAGGCCAGCTTTACCCCAGAGACCCCAGACTCCCGAGGTGGGAAGCCACACCCTGCCGCCCTGCACAGGATGGGGCCTCACCGATATGGGGACATAGGTGTTGCTGATCCCCAGCTTAGCCAGAGCCTCATCCTTAGGGTTGTTTTTCTTCAGGAACATTTTTGAGGGCTTCCTGAGAGAAGGAAGAGGTCCTAAGTCCACAGGATGACTCCCGGGGGTGTAGGTGGTCCTGGGCACCCCCGAGGCCCACCTGGATGGCTGCACTGGCACAGGGACAGGGCCTGGGCGGCTCTGGTACATGCGGATGATGTTCCGGATCTCCCTGCTCGGCTCTGCCGGCTGTCGGGACTCGGGCTTAGGAGCATCAGCAGGCCCCGCCCCCCGGGCCGCCGGCTTAGCCTCAGCCACTTGTGCAGCTTTGGCCTTACTTTGCGTCACTGGCTTCTTTACTATGGGGGGAGGTGGCGGGGATGGCTCTGACCAGGAGAAGAAGAAACACATGAGACCCTGTGCAGACCCCCAGGGCCAGGCCCTCCCCCCAGGCCCTACCACCTGCTCTTGCTTCCTCTTCGTCCTGTTCCTCCTCATTCTGCTCCTCCACCTGGGGAATCCGTATCTTGGGTGGAGGCTTCACTGTCTTCACCTTGATCTGCTGCTGCCCTGTAAGTGCCCCAGGTGGTCCCGTCACTCTCCCCTGGCCTGCCCATCGGGCTCCTAGACAGGCTGCATTAACCCAGGGGAGGAGAGTGCGCCCCCTGTGCCCCAGCCAGGCTGGGGTGGGCTGGTGGCCGGGTTTCTGCACAGGCCTGCCATCCCAAGCACCCTCACCCATCTTCTGGAAAAAGTCCTGTTTCTGCCGGAAGCTCTTGGACTGCCAGGGCTTCTCTTGGGCCTCCTGTGAGATCTCCTGTGGGCAGGAAGGGGAAGTGGAGGAGCAGCCCTGCCAGCCAAGTCATCACCCTCCCAGCACCCCTCACCCCACCCATCCCTGGAGCTGGGGCCCTGGGCATCTTTTCCTCATCTTCCTGCTCCCGTGGAAGCCCTGGAGCCTGCGGTCTCCATCCCAGATGGTGCCACCTGCTTGGCCTCCACTCCTCACCCTCAGGCAAGCACCCACCAATTCTGGTTCATGCTCTGGCTCCTCCTGTGGGGCCATGGGCTTCTTGGGCTTGGGGGCGACGGCTGGGGGTGAGTTCGTGGAGGCAGCTCCAGGGGCCGGGGCCTGGGCCTGGGCCTGGGCCTGGGTCTGAGCCTGGTGCCGGCGCTGCTGTGTCTGCTGCTCCAGCGACAGGGTCATGGCCTGGGCGGTCATCTGCTGGGCCTGAAGGGGGAGGGGCAGTGGGCCCAGTAAGAGCTGGTCTGGCTCTGCCCCACAGACCTGCCCCCACAAGGTGATCTGAGGGCCCTGCCCACCCTCACCAGGATCAGCGCCTGCTGGTTGATGAAGTTCTGCTGCTGGATGGCCAGCTGCCTCTGGTCCACACTGGGAAGCAGGGGCTGTGGCTGTGGCTGCGGCTGTGGCTGTGGTGGCACCACCATAGCTGCAAGTGGCACACAAGTGTCAAGCTTGCACATGGTTCTCTGCCCACTGTACCCTCTGGGCCCCTGATAGGACCTTCCTTCCTCTCCAGTTCCTTGGGACTTGCTCCCCAGCCTTACCTGGCATGGCAGGGACCGCGCCCATCGCTGGCATCATAGGCATGGGTGCAGGCATCATGGCTGGCTGGTATCCAGGCATCTGCACCATCCCTGGGTAAACTGAGGGAACAGGGCCCTGCCAGGTTGATCCTTATCTGGACCCATAGCCCCCTCTCCCCTGCCCTTCTCCAGCCCCAGGCAACAAGAGGATGGGTCACCAGGTGCTGGCTGGAGCTCTGACCCCCACATCCCCGCCTGTGCCGCTGGACTAGGAAGACCCTGGACAGATGCTCAGCCCTGTACTCACCCATGGGGTAGCTGCCTTGCTGCATGGGCCCGATGGCACCCCCTCCTTTCATGTGGCTGCTCAGAGCCCAGCCTTGCTCCAGATCCTGAAGGGACAAAGGCCACAGGCCACAGGGTCAGAACTGGAGCCCTGGGAGAGATGGGAGAGGCAGCGGAGGCCCCAGGGGATAAGGCCATGGATGGGGTCGGCTGTGTGTGCAGAACACTCACGCTGTGGCTTGGGGAGAGAACTGGCTGGAAGAGGTGGTCCAGGAAGCCATCCAGGTTCCCTGAGCCCCGAGATTCACCTGTGGGGCCAGAGGAGGGTTAATGTCACCCTGGGGTGTGGGGCTCCCTGTACCCCTATTCCCATTGCACTGCCAACCTCATTGTGCCCATTCTGGCCTTACCTGAGTAGCTCCTGCTGGGTAGTGTGGGGGCTGGAGGTGGACCTGGAGGCAGTGAGGGGGCCTGGATGCCAGGGGCAGGGGGGATGTCCTCAGCTCTGTGGGAGACAGTGCGCTCAACTAAGGGGATGCCTTGGGGGGGAGGTGTCCAGGCTGACACCAGGTCTAGAATCTGCCGTGGGATCATCCCCATGCGATAGGAGAACACTGGGGGAGGGTGCTGGGCTTGTAGCAAGTCCCGTGAACCCTAGGGTGTGATAGGCTGGCTCTGGGGGTCACCTATGACAGAACAGAGACAGGAACAGGTTGGGACAGGGGGCTGGGGTGGTACCTACAAGCCATGAGGGGCAATGGGGTAGCTGTGGGGACTGATTGGGTCCCCTGGGTCCTCAGTCTGGCCAATGAGATCCAGCACGAAGTCACAGCCAGCCAAATCCTGCCAGGAGTCCCCGGAGTGCAGTGACACGGACCAGCCACGGGGGGGCAGCTCTAGGCCTCTGGGAGGGACAAGGGTGTGATCAGCCAGGAAGGGGGGGCGGGCAGAAAGACACCTGAGTGCTCTTATTTCTTGACCTAGTTCATTAGAATCTGGACCACAGATCTCACCTCTACTCCTGCTCCCTACCTTGAATCTATTCTCTGGCCCCTGCCCACTTACCCCTCTACACAACGCCCACCCCACCCTCGCACACCGCCCTGGGGGAGTGGGGTGCAGGCCTCATTTGCAGGAGGCACCCAGCAGGACGGTGGGTGGGGAGGATGAGGAGCACGCAGGAGGAGGATGGGACAGTGGTCAGTGTTGGCCACACCCCACCCCAGGCCCCTGCACCTGCTCTGCAGAATCCACCCGGCGAACTGCTCTCCCGTGGTCCAGGACTCCACCTCGGCGGAGTAGCACTCCTCTATAGGGACAAGGAGTGGGGGCCGGAGTGAGGGGCAGCAGGCCCTGACAGAGAGGGGCTATTGTCCCCAGGGCGTTCCAGGAGAGGGACAGAGGACACCAGGACAGGACCCTGTGATCAGGGTCACTGGGGTGCAGCCGGAGGGCTGAGGCAGGAAGGGGGTCCAGGGAGGGTGAGGAGGCGGGGCTGGCTCCCCTGTAGGCATGGGGAGGCCGGAGCAGAAGGTGAGCATCACCATTGAAGGTAAAGATGTCCAGCGCCATGCGGCCCCGCCGCCAGCCAGCTGTCCACTCGAGTTGGGTGGGTGGGTGGGCCCGTGCCATCCTGGGGGCCAGATGCGTCTGTTCCATGGCCCCCAGCAGCTTGTGCTGGCACAGTGCTGCCATGCCTCTGGGGGCCTGGTCGGACACAAATCTGCGGGGACAGCACAGGGCTGCAGCGGGGGTGGGCGCTCCACCGATCCCACTCCCTGGGCCCCATGTGTCAGGCCCCTTACTTCAGCAGTGGCTTCTGTAGGGTGGGCATGGGGGGAAAGGCGCTCAGCAGTATGGCCATGAGGGCCCAGCTGCGCTGGCTCTGCTGCTCGTCCGGGTTGTGCCAGATCTGGGCCACAAGTTGGCTGAAGATCTCGTCCCGCAGCCCTGGCCAGCGCTGACCCTGTCGCACCAGGTATTCACCCATGGTCTGCTCCTGCCATGGGGCCAGGGACCCATCCCCCAGGAGCCGCAGCATCTGTAGACGCAGAGCAAGGTGAAGGCAGGACTTGCAGGGCTCCCCTGCACTCAGCCAGCACCCAGGAGCCAGCGTCCAGACCGCCCCGTCCCCTCCCCGACATGTCACTCACCACCTTGTTGATGTCCAGGGCATGCTGAGGGTTCTCACCATCCAGCCGGGTCAGGGGCTTGGCCAGCGGCTGTCCAGGGCTGGGCAGCACTGGGTCCTGCAAGGAAGGAGGGAGACAGTGCCTGAGCAGGTGCTGGTCTGTGCTGACCTGGAGACGGCCTGAGTGGGGCTGCTGGGAGCACACGCCCTGGGAGAAGGTGACGGGCTGGCCAGGAAACTACCTTAAAAATGCATTTTGGTGGCTTTTTCTTTCTTTCTTTCTTTGGCTCGCTCTTTCTTTCTTTCTTTCTTTCTTTCTTTCTTTCTTTCTTTCTGAGATTTTATTATTTATTCATGAGAGAGAGAGAGAGAGAGGCAGAGACACAGGCAGAGGGAAAAGCAGGCTCCATGCAGGGAGCCTGACATGGGACTCGATCCTGGGTCTCCAGGATCACACCCTGGGCTGAAGGCGGCGCTAAACCGCTGAGCCACCCGGGCTGCCCTCTTTCTTTTTAAAGATTTTATTTATTTATTCATAAGAGACACCCACAGAGAGGCAGAGACACAGGCAGAGGGAGAAGCAGGCTCCCCGCAGGGAGCCGGATGCAGGACTCGATCCCAGGACTTCGGGATCATGCCCTGAGCCAAAGGCAGACACGCAGCCACTGAGCCACCCAGGCATCCCTCTATTGCTGTTTCTTTTTTTTTTTTTTTTAATTTTTTTTTTAATTTTTATTTATTTATGATAGGCACACAGTGAGAGAGAGAGAGGCAGAGACACAGGCAGAGGGAGAAGCAGGCTCCATGCACCGGGAGCCCGACGTGGGACTCGATCCCGGGTCCCCAGGATCGCGCCCTGGGCCAAAGGCAGGCGCTAAACCGCTGCGCCACCCAGGGATCCCCTCTATTGCTGTTTCTAACCAACTTGGGATCCTACTCAATGTGCAGTTTGGAATCCTGCTTTTGTATCCAATGCTGTAGCCTGGACGTTTACCTTATCACTGCACACCCTGAAATGACAGGACTTCAATGACAGGGCAATGCCACGGGTGTTAACAAAGGTGTGGCATCACAGATCTAAGTTATTCTAGAGAGTTCAGGTTTGATGGATGTTCTCCAAGCAGGGTGGCTGCACCTATCACCCCCATGACAGGAAAGGATGGGTGGAGGGGGAAGTAGGAAAACTGGGCACAGCTGCTGCCTGGCAGGGCTAATACTTGGGGAGCCATGGAAGTCAGCCAGAAAGAGCCGAGGTCTGGCGACCTACCAGAAAGTTCGTGGAGATGAAGCTGGAGAACAGGAACTGGTTGATGTCAGGCGGGAGGGTCAGGTGGGGCCGGGCAGGAACTTCGGGGGGCATGGACTCGGTGATGCTCTCAGCCAAGGCATGCTGCCGGCCTGGGGATAGCAGCGAGAGGCAGCCCAGGAAGGCCCAGGTAAGGAACTGGCTGTGACCCCACCTCTGGGGCAGAGGGAGCTCAGGGGAGCCCAGAGCATCCTAGGGAGGGACTGTAGGGACAGACCCACTGTACCACAGACAGACCGGAGGAGGGAGGGGTCATGCCAAGAATGACACTTAATCAAAACTCACCTTCTGCTGTCTTCAGCATGACGGCCAGCTCAGCCGGGATCTCCAAGCACCCCAGCTCCTGGCAGGGAGGAAAAATTGGCCAGCTAGTAAAGGAGGGGGCATGGGAACCCAGTGGCTCTCCTCACCCCCAGGACCATAAACTTCTCCAAAGACCAAGGATTTGATCCTGGACACAAATAGGACCCCAAGAGCCTTTAGAGGGAGACCATGGGCCCACGCCTCTTCTTGGGAGGCATAAAGGATGCTCCCCTTGGAACCCCACACTCATCCTCAAGCCGTGCCAGTTTCCAGAGGTTCACACCCCAGTGGACACCCTCCAGCTTCCAGGCCACCTACCATGCTTGGGACTTTCTTGGAGGCTTTGCTGCTACGCCAGCCACGCCAATGGCCAAGCTGTGGGGGGAGATGCAGGAGGAGCCGGTGCCCGGTGAGGAGTCTCCGCGAACCTCCTGGCAGCTCCTCCCCACCTCAGCAGTTCGGCTGCCCCCTCCCGCCCCCAGCAGAGAAACAAAAGCACAGACCCAGAGGGCCGGCTGCCTGCTGCCAGCCCTTCAGAGCCCTACTGGCCTTTGCTGCCCGTCTGCCAGGGTGCTGGGAAGAAGACAGGAAGAGATGGTCCCGGGGACAAAGTCCAGCCAGGGAGGAGCCCCAGGGGGGGGGCACTATGTGGGCCCTGACCTTTGAGCCGCTTTATGGCCTGCACAGTAGAGTCATCAGGCAAAAGAGGGAAGCAGACAGGCCCTGAGGAAGGTCTGGAGGGGACAGGCAGGCACCCCAGGCGGGCAGGGGAGCATCAGCCTCTGGAGGGTGGGCAGGGGTGAAGGAAGTGACCTTCCGGAGGCCCCAGCCTCCCCTGACCAGGCAGCGGGAAATGGGAAGAGTAGACCAGCAATGACTCTGAGACCTTGGTCCTGGTGCGCGGGGGCCAGGGGTGGACCAGGCTGGGGTCTGGCCAACTTGGCCAGTGAGGCGGCCTGACGTCCCTACTGTGAGCTGCTGAGGGCAGCGGCCCCGCCCGGACGTCTACCTGACCTGCAATCTCTGGCGCCTCCGGAGCAGAGGCCGGGCCACCAGCAGGACGGTGTTCAGTTGTCCCAGAGCCGCCTGTCGCCGGAGGTACCGCTTCCTGGAGGCCGGGAAGGGGGTTGGGGAGGGGTCCAAGCATAGGCCTGGTACCCAAACCCTCTGAGCCGAGAAATGAACGTCAGCGTGGACCCCAGGCCGATGACCCCTGGGTGCTTAACTGAAGTCACGGGGAAAGGACAGGACACCTTGAAAGAGCAAGTAAATTAAGGTTCGGCACAGGCGATTATAGTCTTAGGCGGCAGAGCCCACCAGCAGGTGCACCTCCCTCCTGCTCGCTCAGTGTGGTCGTGGATAAGTCACCGTGCCTCTCGGCTTCATTGTCATCATCCACAAAATGAGGATTCGTGTAATCCTTGCCCCGTCACAAGATTAAATTAATCAACTGACACGTTGAGAAGAGTCTGACACATTTTTAAGCAGAACTTCTAAAAATGAAAAAACTGCTATCGCTGGGAGTCTAATAAGAGATCGAAGAAGAGATCATGTCTTTGAGAATCTTCCAGGTATAAGAAAAACTAGACTTCTCAGTGAAGGAATCCAGAGCAGGATGAAAATGAGAAAATAAATGTACAGCTTTGAGGCGGCCAGCTGGCTCGGTAGAGCATCTGGGGGTCATGAGCTTAAGCCCCGTGTTGGGGGTAGAGTTTACTTAAAAAAATGATAATAAGTGTACAGGTTTTGTACATCAAAGGACATCATCAAGAGGGTCAAAAGACAACCCACAGAATGGGAGAACATTTGCAAATCACGTATTTGATAAGAGTTTGAGGACATCTAGGATTTATAAAGAACGTCCACAACTTAATAAGACAAACTAAACACACAAAAGGCAGACAGAGTACTTGACTAGACATCTCTCCAAGAGGATAAACAACTGGCCAAGAAACACACGAGAAGATGCTCAACGTCGCCAGTCATTAGAGAAATGCAAATCAAAACCCCAATGAGGCACTGCTTCATGCCCACTAGGATGGCTATCATTTAAAAAGTAGAAAATAGGGCGCCTGGGTGGCTCATTGGTTGAGTGTCTGCCTTTGGCTCAGGTCGTGATCCTGGGGTCCTGGGATCGAGTCCCCCATCTGGCTCCCCGCAGGGAGCCTGCTTCTCCCTCTGCCTGTGTCTCTGCCTCCTCTCTCTCTCTCTCTCTCTCTCTCTCTCTGTCTCTCATGAATAAATAAAGTCTTTATTTTTTTTAAATTTTTATTTATTTATGATAGTCACACAGAGAGAGAGAGAGAGAGAGAGAGGCAGAGACACAGGCAGAGGGAGAAGCAGGCTCCATGCACCGGGAGCCCGATGTGGGATTTGATCCCGGGTCTCTAGGACCACGCCCTGGGCCAAAGGCAGGTGCCAAACCGCTGCGCCACCCAGGGATCCCAAATAAAGTCTTTAAAAAAATTTTTTTAAGGTAGTAAATAAGTGTCAGCAAAGCTGTAGAGAAATTGGAACCTTGACCCAAGCTGGTGGGAGCTAACTCCTCAAAAAACAAAACATAGAATGACCATATGACCCAGCAATTCCACTCCTAGGGAAAGACCCCAAAGAACTGAAAGTAGAGATTCAAACAGACACGGGCACGCTCGTGTTTCCAGCAGCCTTATTCACAATCACCGAGAGGGGGAAAGAGTCCAAATGACCACTGGTGGATGAGAGGAGACACTATGTGTGGTCTGCGCACACAGCGCCACGTTCGTCAGCTGTAGAAGAGAAGGCAAGTCCTGCTACCTGTTACAACGTGGCTGAACCTCACATATGTTCCACTTAGCGCAGTGAGCCAGATGTAGAAGGAAATACCGCATGAGTCAACTTACATGGAATATCTGGAATAGGCAAATTCATAGGGATAGAAAGTGGACTGGAGTTTACTGGGAGCTGGACGAAAGGTGAACAGGGAATTATTGCTGAGGGATCCAGAGCTTCTTTTGGTGATAACATTTTGGAAGTAGATCATGGTGATGGGTGCCCTGTCTCAGAAGGCTCCCCTGGGCTCCACGGCACTGCCCTTATTTTGTTCTCAGCACTTTACCGCCACCTTTTGAGTGACTGGTGGCTGGTTTACTGCCTGCACCTGATCCTGCCACCACCACCACCACCCCCCACCCCGCCACCCCCCTGGATAGGTGTTGCCTCTGCCTCCATCCCGGGGTCACCAGCTCTGGGCCCAGGGTCATGAAGAAGGGCAAGCAACAGCTGTGGGATGAATGAGCACAGACATTCACACCAAACTGTGAAGGTGAGTGGGAGCTAATTATGTGAAAAGGGGGAGGGAAGTGTTACAAGAGCGAGAAGTCCAAAGAGCCTGGAGTATAAAAATCTGACCTAGCGTCTGCAGAGGTGGGCAGAGCCCCACACAACCTGATTCATGCTTTTAAAAGATCATTCTTGGGGGATCCCTGGTGGCGCAGCGGTTTGGCGCCTGCCTTTGGCCCAGGGCGCGATCCTGGAGACCCGGGATCGAGTCCCATATCGGGCTCCCGGTGCATGGAGCCTGCTTCTCCCTCTGCCTGTGTCTCTGCCTCTCTCTCTCTCTCTCTCTCTCTCTCTCTCTCTCTCTGTGACTACCATAAATAAATAAATAAAAATTTAAAAAAAAAAGATCATTCTTGGGATGCCTGGGTGGCTCAGTGGTTGAGTGTCTGCCTTTGGCTCAGGTCATGATCCCGGACTCCTGGGATCAAGTCCCATATCAGGCTCCCCACAGGGAGCCTGCTTCTCCCTCTGCCTGTGTCTCTGCCTCGCTCTGTGTGTCTCTTATGAATAAATAAATAAAATCTTTTTTTTTTTAAATCTTTTAAAAAAATTGAAAGACTGGAGGTTCAGATGCCCTCAGCAGATAGTGAGCTTCTTGTGAGTCGGGGTATTAGAACAGAAGTTGTATGGACACGGACCCGGGGTGCTGACCGGATGGCCCCTGGGGCAGGTAGACTTTCCTTGAAGCCCCACCACCTGGAGAAGGGTCATCCCACCCCTGCAGACCTGGCCTGGAGCCCTCGCACGCGAGCCTGCATCCGTGGCAGGAGGAGGCGGCTGAGGCGCTGGCAGGAGATGCAGGTGCGGAGGCTGCGGTGCAAGGTGAGCAGGGCCTGCGAGCGTCGCCGGGTCCAGTGCTGCTGCAGCTGCTGCCAGCCGGGCTCCCGCAGCAGGACCTGGGGGCAGAGAGGAGGGGCCCCACCCTGCTCTTCTCCTGAAGCCTCCGCCTCCTCCCTTCCAGCGGGACAACCGAGTTTTGTGGGGAGCCCAGGACCCCTGCCACCCAGGCCCACTCCGTCTCCTCACCACCCAGAAGGACCACCAATTCCTGAGTTTGTCCTGGGACATTCCTCTGCCTTTCCAGCCGTGCCTCCCTCTGTGTGCGTGCATACACACACACACACACACACACACACACACACACACACACACACCTGGGTGGTTCCAAGATGCCAAAGGGGCGACTCGGCCCCCAGCACCTGGCTCAGGATGGCACCACACCTCTGGCGGTCAGAGGACTCTCCCTGCCCCTCTGTCTCCAGGGCCCGGAACCTGCCCCGAGGATGGAGAGCTGAGGTCAGAACAAGCACAGCGAGGTACCCCCCACTTGTTTGACCCCCCCGCCTCCAGCACATATTCAGTCTCTAAGTCATTCAACATTCAACAGGGATTTGGAAGGCACCTTCTTTTTTTTTTTTTTTTTAGATTTATTTATTTATTCATTCATGATAGACATAGAGAGAGAGGCAGAGACACAGGCAGAGGGAGAAGCAGGCTCCATGCAGGGAGCCCGATGTGGGACTCGATCCCGGGACTCCAGGATCGTGCCCTGGGCCAAAGGCAGGTGCTAAACCACTGAGCCACCCAGGGATCCCCTGGAAGGCACCTTCTATGTGCCAGGCACCCAGCAGAGCTTTGCTGAACAGAGGGGCGGGTGGAGGCACGGAGGGAAGGGGCTGATGACTAAGGAAGGGAGGAGGGACAGAGGGAACAGAGAGAGCAGTGAAAGGAGGGAGGCTGGAACCAGGCTGATGTCCCTAGGAAAGGACACCCTGAAGGGGTGGTAGCCCCCCCTTGCGGGTTCTGGCCCTGAGGTGCGGGGGCCCTTGGCCCCTCCACCCCCAGGGTCCTACCTGGCCAGGAAGGCCTGAAAGGCCACGCGGACAGGAAAGTTGGCACTTCGGGCGTACACGGCCTCCAGGACACCCGCCTGGTGCAGCTGCTCTGCCACGTGTCCCACGTCAAAGAGGTCTGGAAGCTGTGGCCATGGAACAGAGCCAACGAGAGCTGGAGTCGAGGGGCTTAGAGCTGCGGGGGAGGCTGGGGGCTTCTGAACAGGGCAGGCAGGTGGATATAGCCAGGTGCCGTGTGGGGGGTGTGGTTGAGGCTCACCTTTCCCGGGTTGGGGTTGAGGCACTGAATGAGATAGACGTAGCTCCTGATGGGAGGAAGGGGGGTCACTTGGGCACAGACCAGCTCCCGCCCCCATTCAAGTCCCTGGGGTCTCATGTGGGGGCCGCTGTTCTCACCTGCCCAGCCGGGCTATGAGGTCCTCTAGGGAATGCTGGAAGCGGGAGGCCAGTGTGGGTTTACGTGGCCCACCCCAGGATGGGGACTCTGCTTCCTGGAACAGGCTGCCCACCAGCTGCGGGGCAAGGGGAGGCTGAGCTGGCTCGCTTCCCAGGCCTGTCCAGAGTCCAGCCTGTGCCCGGGTCCCCAGGAGCCAGGGTGGGCCAGTCCCCGGCATCCAGACCCTGGGAAGCTCAGCCCATGGTCCAAGGTGGGGGCGGGGGGGGGGCAAGTGTGGAGGGGTGGGGGCTCAGAGGGGGCTGGCAGGGCACCTGCAGCTGGCTCTGCGCAAGCATTTCTGCCACGGCAGGGTCAAGATGATCCCGGTTTCTGTTTACAAACCTGTGAACCTGCAGGAGACAGTGTGGGGTGTGGAGAAGCCCAAGGGAGAGGCTGGGGTGGAGGCCAGTCCCTTTGTCACAGTCCAGCCTCTCCCACTGAGCTAAATAAAGGGCCACCTTTGTTTTTTTCAACGAATGGCTCTGAGAAAACTGGAAATCCCCGTGCACATGAATGAAGTTGGGCTCTTATCTCATACCAGATATAAAAATTAACTCAAAATGAATGGATCAAAGACCTAAATTTAAGGCCTGGAACTCTAAAACTCTTAGAAGAAAACATAGGAAGAAAGCTTTGTGACGTTGGACTTGGCAACGATTTCCTGAATAGGACACCAACAGCATAGGCAGCAAAAGAAAAAATAAATGGGATATCATCAAAATTAAAACTTTTGTGGGGTGCCCGGCTGGTGCAGTGGGTGGAAATTTGTGACTCTTGATCTCGGGGTTGTGAGTTCAAGTCCCACATTGGGTGTAGAGAGGACTTACATTTTTTTTTAAAAGATCTTATTTATTTATTCATGAGAGACAGAGAGAGAGGCAGAGACACAGGCAGAAGGAGAAGCAGGCTCCTTGCAGGGAGCCCGATACGGGACTCAATCCCTGGACCTGGGATCATGACCTGAGCTGAAGGCAGACACTCAACCACTGAGTCACCCAGGTGTTCCAATAAATAAAATTTTTTTCAAATTAAAACTTAAGTGCATCAAAAGACTTTAAAATTTTTTATATATTTTAATAGATTTTATTTATTTATTCATGAGAGACACAGAGAGAGAGAGAGGCAAAGACACAGGCCGAGGGAGAAGCAGACCCCATGCAGGGAGCCCGATGTGGGACTCGATCCCAGAACTCCAGGATCACACCCTGGGCCGAAGGCAGGCACTAAACCACTGAGCCACCCATGGATACCCCCCGCTTTTTTCTTTTAAAAGAAAATGTGAGTTCAAAAAAAAAAGAAAAGAAAATGTGAGTTCAAGCCCCACTTTGGGTGTAGATATTACTTTAAAAAGTTTTAAAAAAAGTTTTTTTGGGGCGCCTGGGTGATTCAGTCGGCTAAGCATCTGCCTTTGGCTCAAGTCATGATCTCAGGGTCCTGGGATCCAGTCCTGCATCGGGCTTCCTGCTCAGCGGGGAGCCTGCTTCTCTCCCTCTCCCTTGCCCTCCACTTCATGCACTCTCATTCTTTCTCTCTCAAATAATAAAATTATTTTATTATTATTATTATTATTATTTTATGATATATATATAGAGAGAGGCAGAGACATAGGCAGAGGGAGAAGCAGGCTCCATGCACTGGGAGCCTGATGTGGGATTCAATCCCAGGTCTCCAGGATCGCGCCCTGGGCCAAAGGCAGGCGCTAAACCGCTGCGCCACCCAGGGATCCCTACAATTTTTTAAATAAAATCTTTTAAAAAAAGTTTTCTTTTGTGGTTTTCTTTATTCAGTCTCCTTGTGTGTGTATTTAGGTGTGATTGGTTTTTGGTGAGGGGGGCAGAGGTATGATTAACATATATATATATCCCCTGGGTTTCTTGGTTGGGTAATTCCTGAGTGGTTTGTGTTTTCTTTTTTTTTGTTTTCTTCTATAACCAAAGCATGTCACCTCTTCCAGGAAGCCTTAAGGGACTTGCCCTACCTCAAACTAGCCACATGATCTCACCCTTTATATGAGGCCTCCTCCCCTCAGCAGTTCTCCTCCTGGGTGGGTGTGCAGTCACTGCGAAATTTCGAAGGGGGAAAGGCGAGTCCCTTCAGTGAGCACCTAGGGTGTGCTAGGCACTTGCCTGACCACTTCCCCATTACTGCATTTAATCTTCCCAACAGTGTTATAGGACAGACTGTATTCCCATTTCAAAAATAGGAAAACGAAAGTTCAAGAGAAGCAGGCAGGCCAGAGGCCAGTCTCGTCTCCCTTTACCCCGTGGTGCTCATCCAGAACTCATTAAATTATGCTTGGAACTGTGTAGGGCCTGGGGATCCCTGGGTGGCTCAGCGGTTTGGCGCCTGTTTTGGCCCGGGGTGTGGTCCTGGGGACCCGGGATCGAGTCCCACTTCGGGCTCCCTGCATGGAGCCTGCTTCTCCCTCTGCCTGTGTCTCCGCCTCTGGGTGTGTGTGTGTGTGTGTGTGTCTCATAAATAAATAAATAAATAAAATCTTAAAAAAAAAAAAAAGGAACTGTGGGCATAGGTAGAAATAACAGTCAAACCCTGGGAGGGGCGGCCCCTCACTTACTCCTCTTTCTCATCAGATGACTCAGCTCTGGGGAAGGGACACCAGGGCCACATCGCTCTCACTGATTCACCCAAGAGTCTGTCCCTGATTTACTCCGATACCTGGTAGGTGACGGTCCCCGCGTAATGCCTCACGGTGAAGATAGGAAGGGGCAGCTGGGGTTTGGCATAACAGGTGTGATTGCCATGGTGATAGTGGCACTTCTGGAGGAAGGTGTGGTCTGTGGCCTGATAAGAGGGATGAGCTTCCCTCAGGCCTTTGCACATGATGTTCCCCTGCCCAGACTGTGTGTCTCTCCAGGGTCAGCCAGTAAGTACTTGTGGAATGGGTGCACCGCGGCCCTGGGGCTTGCTTCCTACCAGCTGGAGGCCTGAGGGACCCCCCGCAAGCCCCGTGCAGTCCCCACCACCCTGCCTGTTCAGGACTTGAGGAACCCCAGAGAGGTCAGGTATCTTGCTCAAGATCACCCAGAGACAGGATTTGAACCCAAACTGTGCTGAGAGGCTATGGGCAGAGTTTCTGGACCCCATCACCTGTTGCTCCTCTCGGAGGCCCTGCTGGCCCTGACCTGGCCACCAGGGCCCCCACCGCTTGGGGCTCACCTGTGACAGCCATGTCTGGGCATCCAGGATACTCAGGAGGCTGTGAGGCTGGTCTATGAGGAGGTCCAGGCAGGTCTCCCGCACGGGCTGGGGAATGGGCACCCAGGACAGCAGCTCTCGCTGACACACCTCCTGGGAACAGCCAGCATGGGGCCAATTGTTAGAGCTCATTGGAGCCAGAGCAGGGATTGCCCTCCCATTGTCCAGATGAGTAAAATGAGGCCCAGAAGGGCTGAGATGGTTCATAGTGTGGTGGGGGCGGGGATGGGGGTTTGGGGGCAGAGTTCTTAGTTCAGGGCGCTTTGTTTCTCAGGGATGGCCCCTGTTCTGGAAGGCCTGGTGTTCCCAGCCACCACCAGGCCCAGGGCCTCTTACCTCCTCCTGGGCCAGAAGCATCTGGCTGGAGAAGAGCTGCAGGCGCTCGCTGGCAAGGTTATTACACAGCTGCTCCAGGCCGTTCACCCTCAGGGCCTGGAGGAACAGGGGCAGTGACGTGGGCACCCACACAGGGCGGAGGCACAGGGGAGGCCTGCACGCTGACCCGCTGACCTGGTTTCCCTCATTCCCCTCCCAGAACTCAGGGAGGAGTGGTGCCCTGGGGCTGCTGCTACAGCCCACGGGGTCAAGCCCAAAGGCCCAGGCCTCAGCCCACACCCCTCCCTTTGCCTCTGTAAGACCGTGAGCCTTCAGGCCTCTGGTCACAGCCATCCTGTGGTCTTAAAGGCACCTTTTCCTATGACCTAGTGGCTCGCTGGCTCTCAGAATCCTACATCCTCATAAGCAGGGCTCCAGGCCACTGCCTCCAAGAAACCTTCCAGAAATCCTCCTGTAGAGATCACAGGTCCCTCTGTGTCCGTCAGCACTTTACTCACAAGCCCAGCAGAGCCCCTCCCTCCATGTGGCTTTGTACAGAGAGCTCTGACACACTCTAACACACACACAAGAGCACGTATGTGCACATACACGCACACTTGCCACTGTCATCCCTCCCCCCGGAGAGGGCATAGTCACCAAGGGCATGCTGGAGAGGAGAGAGCAGGGGGCAGTGACCAGTGCCCACCCAGGGAACAAGAGTGGAGGCCACCTTCTCTTGCTCAAGCCCCCTCCTCCCTGCCCAGAGGAGGTAGGATCTTCTAGAAAGGGGTGAAGAGCTTATGAAAACTCAGGACCATTCAGGGGACTGTCCCTTTTCCTGCTTCTCTTGGTGCATGGGAAGTGAGGCTGTGGGCTGCTTCATCCTAGGGCTTCAGTCTTCTGCTGCCTTAGAGGCTCCTATGAGACTCTGCAAGGCCAAGCAGGATGAAACTCTCCAGAGGTGATGTCAGGACTGGACAGGCTACACCTGTGGAGTGTGTGCTGTCTCATGGCCAGGCAGGCAAGAGCTCACAAGTGCCCCCCTCAGGGAGCGCTGACCCCAGAAATGCTCAGGATGAGGTGGGCACCCCATAGTGGGGCCTGCCCCAAGGGGTGACCTCAAAGCCGTAGACATCCACGACAGTGATGGTGTCCATGCTCTCTCCCTCTCTGGGCGGTGCCAGCTGTGCATTGGTCCTCCTCAGAAGCCAGGTGAAAAGCCGTGAGTACAGGGCCTTGGCCAGGGCGTCCCTGTGGGCACGCTGAGTGAGCCTGTGCGGTAGAGTGGCCGCCTGGCGATGGCTCCCTCCCGTCCCCAGGGCCACCTGGCATCAATGGCGCTTTCCATCGGCAGAGATCTGCAGACCCAGCCATAGGGTGTCTCCTGGAGGACAGAGGAGGTAGGGCACGTGGAACAACAGGCCAAGCCTGCGGGGGGGTTGGGGTTGGGGCTGCCTCCCCACCCCGAGGAGCCCAGGGCTCACCACGACCCTCCTGGTGACAGCCCCCTCCAGGCGCTCAGGCGGCACCAGCAGTAGCCGGGCTGCTGTGTGGATCTCGGCCCAGCTGGACACAGCAGCCACCTCCTGGGACCCCCGCTGGACAGAGAAGGGAGGAAGCAGGGAGAGCTGTGCTGGGGAATGGGCCCTCCCGCGGGGCAGGCAGGGCCTGGCTTCCTCTTCCAAGGAGCTGCCCTGCTGCCCAAAGTCAGACTGCGTGGGGAGCCGACTCGAGTGGAGGGGGGCCCTGAGATTGAGTCCTAATTTATCTTCTTCACTAGCTGGCCGGCTCTGGAAGTTGCCTCCCTCTCTGAACCTCCACTGTCTCACTGGGGGTTTTTTTGTTTTAGATTTTATTTATTTATTCATGAGAGACACAGAGAAAGAGAGAGAGGCAGAGACACAAGCAGGCTCCACGCAGGGAGCCCGACGTGGGACTCGATCCCGGGTCTCCAGGATCATGCCCTGGGCCGAAGGCAGCACTAAACCGCTGAGCCACCCGGGGATCCCCTTTTTTGGAAAAAAAAAAAAAAAATTTATTTATTTTTTTATTTAAGTAAGCTCCATGCCCAGCATGAAGCCAGGCCTTTGGAATCTACCTACGAGTGCTTGGTATCATTGCGGCCCTGATGATGCAAACACGCCACAGCTGACCCAGCGTCCACAATGGCCGCTGGCCGTGGCAGGAGCCCACCTCTGAAGAGGAGAAGCAAATGTTGCCCAGGTGCAGGATGGCGGCCAGCACGGCCCAGGTGGCAGTCACCTCCTCGGGGCATATGACCTGCAGGGCTTTGTGCAGTCCTTCGAAGTCCTGGGCGTCGTCCTTACCCTGGAGACTGCAGGCCTGGCCCTGCGGAGCACAGCAGGGGTCAGGGGACAGGGCCCAGCCGCCAAGAGCTCCACTCCACCAGGGCTACTCCCTAGACCCCTGAGCAAGCCCTGTCACCCAGCGCCAGCTGGGCCTTCCCCCACCTGGTTGAGGTAGTAGTAGGTCTCTGGCCCCTGGAGGGAGAGCTGCTCCCGTTCCACAGGGTCTAGCCCTGCCAGCATCTCATAGAACACATGGAAGCTCCGCTCAGCCTGGGCCTTTGGGGAGAAGGACTGGCTTAGGGGGAGTAGTGGTCCGGTCCTGGGCCTTAGGGGAGCAAGGACAAGTCCTGAGAAAGGCAGGGAGGGGGGCTTAGCGACCGCAGGGCCCCCCCACAGTGGGCCCTCCGTCTTTCCCATTCTGGGAGCAGCAGGGTGGCTCTTACCTGAAACACCACCCTTGAGGTCTCAAGCAGATAGTGTGACACAGAAGCTCCCACGATGACCCCACTGTGGGCACAGGACAGTGGGTGGAGGTGCCCGGGGTACATGCAACCTAGGGGTGCTGCTCAGAATGGGACAACTAGGGGCTGGACCCAAGGGCAGCAGCCTCAGGTTCCCAGTGAAGGGAAGTGATCATGAGTGCTCCCTGCGCCCACCAGGACTCCCGGCACTCACTGCTGCAGGCAGAAGCAGAAGACCTGGCCAAAGCGGCTGGCGTTAGCATTGAGGACTGTCTTGGCGTGGCCAAAGCTGCTGAGCAGGAGCAGAATGCCATCCAGCTGTGTGGGGGAGGAGCATTCAAGCGTCCCCGGGCGGGCGTGGCAGTGGTAGCCACGATCAGCTGAGGATACTTTGCGCCCAGGGGCTGTGCTCACCCTGAGAGGCTCAGATCCCCCTACCCGCCCCATGGTAGGCAATGCCTGGGGCTGCCCCCAAGGAGAAGCCTGAGGCTGGAGACCATTCTCCTGGCCCAAAGGAGAAGGAAGGTCCCTCCTGGATCCCTGGGAAAAGGCCAGCTGCCCCTCACCTGACGTCTTCTGTCCCTTGTCTGCTCCTGTGCCAGGCTGCTGAGGAACTGAACGATCTTTTTGGCAGCTTCTGTCTTCCCGGAGCCACTGTGCCCACTGCAGGAGGGAGGAGCCAACAGGGTCTCCAGGAAGGGGCATAGAGGACACCCCACTGAGCCCAGGAAGTGGAGTATGCCCACCTGGAAGTGAACAACCTCCCCCCACGCACACACCTGTGGAAATGTGGAAAGACAGACGCAGGGCATGGAGACCAAAGAGAAAGAAGTCTCCAAGATGCCACATTCAAGGGCACAGGGATGACTTAAGCCAGGAGCACAGCCCTTACCAACTCCATCGCTGCTGCCCAGCAGTGGACTAGACCAGCAGCTTCAAATGCAGACCCCACGTCCCCTGCGTCCCAGCCCTGCGTGGTCTGTGGGTTTAGCGGGGCACCACCACTCACCTGAGGAGAATGCATGTGCCCTGCCCGGTGCTCTGCGACAGGCTATAGGCTGATACCATGATGGCCAAAATGTGTCTGAGGGAGGAGGATAGGGAGCAAATGAGAAGGCTACCAGAGTTGGGCCCTCCTAGGTGCAGACAGGACCCTCAGTCCCCAGGGTCTCAGGGGACATGCTGGGGCTTGGGCGCCCAGGGAGGTGAGCAGAGGGTTGGTGGGGCAAAGTCACGTACGGGGTGGTGTTAGGGGCCTTCTTGGGGTGGTAGCTGGCCAGGACCTCAGCTGAAAAGAGAGGCAGGGGCCGGCGGGGGTTCAGAGAGAGCAGAAGAGGCCCCCCAAAGGTCTGGGGAGAGAAGTAGATGCTCTCATCAGAACATGGAGAAAGCACCCCTACTTCCTCTGCTACAGTTGGAGTGGGACTCGGGTGCTCCCCGGCCCAGTCCCCAGCCCCCGGCTCCCACTCTGCAGGTCCCCAGTGAGGGTTCAGCACCCAGCCCTGGGAGGAAAAGGCAGGAGAAATTCTAGAAGTGCCAGAGGGCCCTCTGATCCCAGGAAACAGGGAATCCCACCCCACCCACACTCCCCAGGTGCCCCCATACGTAGATTCGGCCCAGATGAAATCTCTTCTTGAGGCACAGCAGCACAGAGCTGTTACACACTGGTCTGTGGCGACAGCGGGATAGAGAAGCGGGGAATTGGGGGCAGAAGGAGGTCCTGGGTTAGTGCTGCCACCAGCTGCGGAGGTCCTTTGGGCAAGTCGTGCACCCTCTCTGAGCCCTGACCAGAACACAGGGGCCCGGCTGCCAAGTGAGGTACCCACTTCATGGGGGCTACGAGCACGACCAGGTCGCTGAGCCAGAGGCAGGCTGTGAGCCAGAGAAGGAAGTCCCAGGCAGGGGCTCCTGACTTTCACCCCTCTCCTGCCCCTTCCAGCCTGAGGACCTCTGGTAAGGTACAATCCCTTCTACGGACACAATTTATAAAACTGGAGGTAGGGTGGGATAGGAGGAGCTGTGGGACCCAGGCGCCCCACGTCTGGAACTGCCTCCCGCTCACCGCAGCAGAGCCAGGTCCTCCGTGTCTTCCAGACCTTCCCCAGGGCTCCTGCCCTCAGCGTCCAGCGCGGGCGGCAGCTCCAGGCCGGGCCCCACGCTCAGCTCCAGGTCCCTCTCCAGCGCTTCCTCGGTCTCGTCCTCGGGCTCCCACCGCTCCCTCGGGGACCCGCAGGGGCCGGGGCTCCTCTCCCACCGCACGCGGGTCTCCAAGGTGAGTCTGGGCAGCAGCGCGTCGGCGCCAAGCCCGGGGTCCTGGCGGGGTTCTGAGCTCTGGGCCCAGTGGACCCGGGCCTCGGCCCCCAAGGTCTCGGGCTCCGCCTCGCTGCTGGAGCCGCTCTCGTCGAGTGGGGGCTCGTCGCGGGCAGGAGGGTCGAGGAGAGACCCTCGGGGGGACCCGGCCCCACTTTGTCCACTCGCCCCGCGCCCCTCACTGTCTCCCGAGGCTCCTGCACAAGGCCGAACGTGCCCCTCCGCGGGTGGGGCGTCCGCGGACGCGTCCTCTGAGCTCCGGCTGCTCGACGCCCTCCCAGTCCTGTGGATCCTGGGGAACACGACGGCGAACTTGGGATCCGGGGTCCGGTCCTCGTCCTGCGAGGGGTCCCCGGGAGCCGGGCTCTTCGCAAGCTGCGGGGAGCTCGAGCCGCCGCTAGGGGGAGCCCTGGGCCGTCCCCCCAGGCCCGCTACGCCCGCCAGGCGCAGCACGAGACGGCGCCGCGGCCCCGCCCCCCGGCCCCCGCCCGCCCGCGGCCCCGCCCCCCGGCCCCCGCCCGCCTGCAGCCGGCGCCGCAGCCACCGCAGGAGACCCAGGGCGCGCACGACGCGCAGGAGCCGCTCCTTGAGGCCGGTGCAGCCGGGAGCCGGGGCCGCGGCCTGGGGAGCCGGGGCCGGCGGCGCTCTTGCGCGGAGCCTGCGGAGCGCCACGAGGGCGGCCAGCGGCGCTGGGTCCCGGGGCCCCTCTTCTCCTCCAGCCCCAGATTCGCTGTCGCCGGTCGCCTCTTGCACCTTCGCCACCACCTTTCCGACCTGGCGGCGCCGAGTCGCGGCGGCCGAGGGGTCGGCCCTTCCAGCCTCGGCGCCCTGCGGCTCAGCGCCGGGCCGCGCCTCGTTGTCTCTCGCGTCCCGGGGCAGCCTGGGGTCCCGAGAAGCCCGCGAGCTCCGGGGGACGCACGCGGGGCTGCCCTCGAGGGAGCTGGAGGCCGCGGCGTTTTCGCCCGGCTCAGTCTCTTCGGCTCCCGCGGCCCAGCTCGCCCATCTTGGGGCTGCCCGTGGGCCCCCTCCAGGCCCGGCCGCCTCCAGGCTCGACTCCGTGTCTGCCCCGGAATCCTCGCTCTCCTTCCTCCGTCCCACTCCCGACGACCCTTCCCGGCTCCGGGGCTCAGCGCTGTCCCCGTCGTCGCGGATGAGCCCGTCGCTGCTGGCGCGCTCGCGGGGTTCCGGCGCCGGCTCCCACCCGGGGTGCGCGGCTCCCGAGCTCGAGTCCGCTTGCGCCGGCCTGGGCCGCAGCCCCGGGGCCCCGCTGCTCCGCCGGTCGCCGTCCTGGGCCTCGCGGGCTTCGCTGCCCGGGCAAGAGCTGCCCGCGTCTCCGCCCGACGCGTCGCCCCCGGGGCCCCGGGGCTCCCCGGCGCCCTGCCCAGCCGGGGGTCTCCGCCCTTGCCCTCCATTCCGGCGGCGGCCGAGTTCGCGGGTCCTGCCTTCTCCGGGGAGACGCTCCTCCTCCCGGCGCCCGCCTTGGCCGTCCGGGTGCTGGCGGCTGTCGTCGGACCCGGGTCCCCGACGCCGCGCGCTGCCGGGTCTCCGCTGGGCCTCCTGGGCCTCCGCTGGCGGCGCAGCCCCGGGCGGCCCGCCGCCGCCGCCTCCCTCCGCGGCGGGCTCCGGGCGGCCACCGGGGGCCCCGCGGCTTCCCGGGGTGGCGGTCCCCAGGACCGACCTGGCCCTGCGGGCCTTGCCGCGACCCTGTCGGCGTTCCCGGCTGGCGGAGCCCGAGCCCTGCTCCCCGGAGGCCGGCGGCCCGGGTCCCTCCCGGCGCTGGGGCGCTTTGCCCTTGCTGCCCCCCATGGCGGGCTCCGTGAAGAGGGGCTTCCCGGGGTCCCCGTCCTCTCGCCCAAGATCCCGCAGCCCGGGCGCCCTGCGCGGAGCCTGAGCGAGCGCTGCCCGCTCCGGTTCTGCTCCGGTTCTGCTCCGGGTGGACGGGCGCAGTCCACCCCCCGGGGGCTGCAGCCTTACCCGCGAGCATTAATAATGCAGGTGGCTGCGGGTCCTGACCCCCAGGCCAACAAAGGAAGGGAGGCGGCCCAGGAAAGAGGAGACGCTGCAGCGGCAGACAAAGGCCAAGGACAGGGCAACCGTGCAGCCTGGCACCCCGCCGCGCTGGGGACCCACACGCTCTGCTCTTGTCTTACTGCTTGCCCAGTGGGGGGGGGGGTCGGGGTGGTGAGCCCCCTTCAAAGTTCCTGTTGGGACGTCATCCTGGGGGCTCAACAGATACCCACTCCTTCCTTAGTCCTCTTGGACTCGATACATAGCTACTATTTCAGGGCTTAGTATGTGCCAGGCAGTGTTCTAAACACTTCACCGTGGAGTCATTTACTTCTTGAAAGCACGCTAAGAGGTGGGTACCCTGAGGATTCCCATTTATGGCTCATATGATGAGGCTCACAGCTGAGCGTCCCAGTAGGGTGATACGGGATGCCACCCCAAGCAGTGTGGCTCCCAGAGCCCTCTGGAGCAGAGGTGTGGGGGCCTACCACCAGCAGCAAACTTGACTTTCTTTGGCCCATTGCAATGGGGCCCACAAGCCCCTGGAGTGGCCAGAGAGCTCAGTGCCCCTCTCCAATCTCTTGCCTTCTTGGGACGCTCCAATCCTCCTGGCTGATCCAGGCCAGGGCTTGTAGCTCACTCAGCTCTGTGAGTGTGGCCAGCCTCCGGGTCCCTTCCCTGGCAGCCTTTCTTTCTTTCTTTCTTTCTTTCTTTTTTTTTAAAAAGATTATTTATTTATTTATTCATAGAGACACACAGAGAGAGGCAGAGACACAGGCAGAGGGAGAAGCAGACTCCATGCAGAGAGCCTGACGTGGGACTCGATCCAGGGTCTCCAGGATCATGCCCTGGGCTGCAGGTGGTGCTAAACCGCTGTGCCACCAGGGCTGCCCACCCTGGCAGCCTTTCTCTCAGATCTCCCCAAACCCTAGGAAAGGGATAAGATCTCAGTTGTACAGATGGGGACAGCTCAGGATAAGTGGCTGAAGGCCATTCAGCTGGTAACTAGGAATTGGGCACCAAACCCAGCTCCTTGACCATGACTACCTGCTATTCTGCTCCTCGGAGCTTCTGCTGGGAACTGGCTTTGGAAACAGGCAGCCTTGGTCCCTCCAGCCTGCCTCCTGGCTGTGTGACCTCAGGCAGCCTCCAGGGACCTCCCCCTACCTCTCCACCAAGCCCAGCTCTGGACTCTGGCTCCTATGTTCCCTACTCATTCCTCCACCTGCTTTTTTTTTTTTTTTTTTTTTTTTTTTTTGCTTTTTAAAAGATTTTATTTATTTATGTATTCATGAGAGACACACGGAGAGAGGTAGAGACACAGACAGAGGCTCCCTGCGAGGAGCTAGATGTGGGACTCAATTCCAAGACACTGGGATCAGGATCTGAGCCAAAGGCAGATGCTTAACCACTGAGCTACCCAGGTGCCCCTCCTTCACCTGCTTTGCTCCTCCTCTCACCATGCTCCCTCCCTCTCTCTCTCCCAGCCCTACCACTAGCCAGGGTCCCTTGCCTGGGTTAAGGTGCTGTGCGATTTTACAGGCTCTTTTAATCCTTACTATCTGTAGGGTAGGCTCTATGATTATGCTCTGTTTTATAGATGAATAAAACCATAACACAAGAGTGATGTCATCTACCCAAGGTCACACAGTGGGTCACAGGCAAAGTGACACAGTGTTTGGGGACTGGGTCTACCTGCCTGACTTCCAAGTCTAAGTAAGCACTAAGTGTCCCACCTGTCAGTGCGGAAGACCCTCAGATCCCAGTCTCCAGACCACGTGTCCAGCTGCCCTTGGAACACCAGCAAGGCCTTGGAGTCAGCAGTGATCTCTGTCACTCACTCACCTTCTCCATCTGGCAGAGGTCCTTGTCACCTCTACTCTTGGTATCCCCACCTGCTGCTACCATCACCCCTCCCTGGACAGAAGCTGCAAGGACCTCCAGCTTCTCTCTGTGCCAGCCCAGCTTCCATTAATCCACTTTCTAGACAGTGCCAAACCCTTCCGTTTGTGCATGCCTATCAATAAAAATTGGTGATCTCATACTCCTGATAGGGGAAGGTTTTTCTTTTTTTTTTAATTTTTTTTAAATTTTTTTTAAATTTATTTATTTATGATAGTCACAGAGAGAGAGAGAGAGAGGCAGAGACATAGGCAGAGGGATAAGCAGGCTCCATGCACCGGGAGCCCGATATGGGATTCGATCCCGGGTCTCCAGGATCGCGCCCTGAGCCAAAGGCAGGCGCCAAACCGCTGCACCACCCAGGGATCCCGGGGAAGGTTTTTCTAGAACTGAAATAGGTGAGCCACCGACAGTAGCTGATACTTCACAGCACAAAGTACTTAAGGCAAAGCTCAGCCTCAGTGAGCATGGATGTAAATCCATGTTCAGAGTGGATATTTTCAGGTGTGTGTGTGGGGGGGGGCGCTGGGTGGCTTCTGTTCAGTGGAGCTGGATCATTGCTGTGGCTATGAGGCTCTCTGTGCCATGGAAGTGTTTGGGTCTGTTGTTTTCTGACATGTTGGTGCTTGTGTTATTACCATGGTCTTCAATTCTTGGTTTCTTTGGGAGGAAACTTCGTGTCACTTGTCCACTTGTGTGAGTTAATTTAGCTAACTGGACAAAAACAAGCAGTAAGCCCTTCTAAACCAGTAGTCAGAAAAGCACATGAGTCTCCTTAGACTGTGTGTGTGTGTCTGTGTGGCTGTCCAGCTCTCTGGGGTGTCATGTTCTAATTCCCTCCTTGGCACCCACTTTTGGAGCATAACCCTCTGACCTCCAGACTGAGGACCCAGTGCCAACTCTATAAGGTGTAAACAGCAGAGTTTAATTTCTTTTATGATAAAAATAAAGATCCTGTGCAGGGAAGCGGTAACATGCTCTCTCTGACCCTGACAGAGGGTCATGAACCCATGAACCTCGTGGACTCCCTTGAACCTCACAACGGGTCCTGAGCAGGTACTATCATTCCATTCCCCAGAAGCTGGGATGCACAGCAGGTAGGCAATTTGCCTGAGGTCATACGAGTGGAACTCGCTGGGATTTATGCCACGGTGGTCTTTGGAAGCATAAATTTCACAAGGGAAATTCCCTGCTTAAGGGAAGCATCTGAGATGCTTCCAGAGTCTCAGAATCAAGTCCAGACTGTCTGGCTGGGTGTGTAGCAGTCCCCTCCTGTCTGTAGCTTTGTCTCTGTATCTACCCAGAATCCCTTCTCCACTACTTCTGGGACCATGGTCTGGGCCCCTCTTCCTTTTGAGGGACTGTTCCTCCTCATTCCTTGTGGCTTTTGGGACTCAGGAAGCGCCACCCCCACTTCCAAGGAGAACAGGGGGCACTGGAGTGGCCCAAGTTAAACAGCCCAGAGACTTTTGAGCTGCACATGCTTGGCTGGAGGGTGCTGGGGAGGACGTTCCCACAGCGCATCCATCCTGGGACCTGGACCTTGGCTCCTCCTCTGCCTTGTGCACCAATCCATGTCCTTTCTAACAGCCCCAGAGGTGGGCTCCTGTGCCACACAGCAGTGCCCCTGCCCTCACCAGGCTCCGGCGGGGGGTGTGTGTGTGTGTCCCAATCTGGCCCCAGTCACATGGTAGTCTTGTTTTCAGAACACTTCCTGCCCACCCCCTTCAGTTTTTTTTTTTAAAGATTTTATTTATTCATGAGAGACACAGAGAGGCAGAGACACAGGCAGAGGGAGAAGCAGGCTCCATGCAAGGAGCCTGATGTAGGACTTGATGCCAGACCAGGAATCATGCCCTGAGCTTTGGGGCTCAACTGCTGAGCCACCCAGGTGTTCCCACCCCCTACCCCTGCCAGCTCTTGACCGACCAGCTCCCAAGGCAAGCTGTTGGCTCCTCTGTCTTCTGTGGAGCATCCTCTGGTCATGTTCCTGCCCCAGCTTACTGTCACCCCCGGACTGCCTGCATCTTAAGACTTCCTGCCCTTGTTAGGACGGTGAGCCCCACAAGGCAGGGACCCCATGTGCCTGGCGTATAGTAGATGCTCACCAAAGACAGGTAAATGAAGTAGAATCAAGTAGACCAACCCCCGGGGCAGCCCGGATGGCTCAGTGGTTTAGCGCCACCTTCAGCCCAGGGTGTGATCCTGGAGATCCGGGATCAAGTCCCACATTGGGCTCCCTGCATGGAGCCTGCTTCTCCCTCTGCCTGTGTCTCTGCCTCTCTCTCTCTCTCTCTCTCTCTCTCTCATGAATAAAAAAAAAATACATATATATATATATATATATATATATATATATATATAAAAGTAGACCAACCCCCCTGGTTTATAAGGACCAGAACAGCTATCTGATCCAGCTGTTCATCTGAGGGTAAGACCTTTCATCTCTGGGCAGTCTCTGACCTCAGCAGCAGCTCCCAGCCCTTCCCTGAAGTCTGGAAGAAGGCAACAGGTCTGAAAATACGGTGCGAGTCTTCCCCTTCTGACAGCAAGGAAAGGCCAGTCAAACCCTTCTGCCTCGACCCAGGGATGCACAGTCATGCAGACTCGCGATGGTTAACTCTTGCCATTCATTCCCAAACACAGAAGTGTAGTGTCCAGACACAACCAAGCTCAGTTTGCTCTGACTCAAATGTCTTAAAAAAGAGATTCTCTGGAGTACTGGTCTGGTCCAGTAACTGCACCCCAGGGGCAGAGGCAAGGGACTGGCTAACCATTGTTTCCGTAGAAAATTTCTGCATAATTAAAAGAATTAGTCATTGGACCAGTCTGGTGAAGAGGTAATGTGTTTATTAAAAATTATTTTTCCACCCAGAGGCAGTTAAAATTTATAATTT